AATGTTTCTTCACAAGAAACTCAGTATTTAAATCAAACAAATGTTTAACTTGGAACAAACTTCTTAAGGAACAATTAACATCCTTATTTGATGTACACAAGCTAAAAGAAAGAACTATACATCAAGGCAGCTTGTAGTCAAACACTCTCTGTCCCTGTTCCAGTTAACAGACAGATACACTATGTGAAAAGTCTGTGAACAGAGAGACTGTAAATCAAGGGTGTCTGTGATACTGGCATGACTGCTCATCCTCCAATCCTGCCTTTATATTCAGCATGTGAGCTAGGAAAATAGTCCACCTATATAAATAATGGATTGAACAGCCTCTGCTAGAAAAATAAACAAAAACCCAAATGAATCAATCTCCACCCTCAGGCACAAGGGCAAAAGTACATCTGTTATAGGACACAGAGAGTCAAATGAGCAGAAAGGGAAGTGTTTCTACCTTGCTACGTGCTCTGTTCCCACAAAACTGCTTTCTCTCCATCTCCTGACTATGTCTACCATCCACTGTGAACAGTACTTCCTCCCTTTTCTAAGTATTTATTAGCCTCTTTTCTAGTTATTCTTCAAATTTAGCACTCTTTCCTCTCTCCTTTTCCTCACCTCATTACTTTTTTTGGTCTTTAAGCAGTGCAGAACAACTCAAATGTCATGCTATAAAGAATTATCTTCATTAGCTCTTTATTCCAGTGAAAGATCTGGACTGGATCACTAGTAACTGAAAAGGACTCAAATTCATAAGGATACACTCCTGTCATGCTGTGATCAAAGCTTCAGAGTGGATTTTTGCCAGTCCCTGATCATACTGGTAAAACTATATTACATTATTAACTTCTTTTTCTCAGGCATTTGTTATACACTACATTCCTTAGTGGTTGTATGTTTTCATAGCTGTCATGCAACAAGATTTCTTCCAAATTAGATATCAGAAAAAGTTTAACTTTGATAATTGATTAGAATACTGACTTGCAGGCAAGAATAACCTAAAATCATTTCAGGCTCTAGACAGAAACTTTGAAAGCTCCTATACATATGACATTGTCAGAATGATTCTTATTTCCCAATCACAATTCAAACTCAACAAGGCTAGCTTTGCTTTTTTGGGGTTTAAAGTCATAATCTGAATCCTGAGCCAGGCTGGGATTGGCTATTTTTATGTTATCAAAGCATTTTCTTTTATAAAATCATTCCTATGAACAAAAAGTAAGAAGTTTCCAAAGTCAAAACTGAAATCTTTTTCTTCTCAACATGCAATTCAGGAGCTGGGAGCTTTGAAGACACAATGTGATCTTGCTGCCACGTCCATCATGTGTACTCATGATTTAAGACCCCTGCATTAAGAAAACAAGCAACCCAGAACAATAATTTCATAGAATAATCCCTCCTTTCTGTTTTGTGACCTAGTGGAAAACAATTTTAAAATTACACCGGTTAGACCTAACTAATACATCAAATATCTTCCAAGATGCTGAAAAGGACTAAGAGATAATGACAATTTGTTTCTGGAGGTAAAAGTCTTGCATTGCCCTGAAGCTCTACGAGTACAGCACACTGAAGGTATGTGAGCACACAGGTTAAGGAAGTGCTAAAGCATGAGGATGGTAGCATTACTGACAGATGCAGCATAATTTTAAGGATCAAGTGTAAACGGGACTTTTATGAGTGAAAAGTAAGGAAAGGACAACTGCGGGTAAAGAAATTTCCAGGGAGGAAATGGAAGACAAAAATAGGAACACTTTAGTGTTACATTTACAGCAAAAAATACTTTTAAAACATTCTAGTAATTTACGATTTTGAAGAAATTTCTTGGTGTTAATAGAGAAATATCAAGGCAACACGGAAGGGCTAGCTAAAAATGAGATATGAAGATAAAAACTAAAATGAAAAATGGATAATGTATGTCCTTAGATAAAAAAAGAAAAAAAAAAAACAAGTATAACAGGATAAAAATCAGAACTACAATAAATGTTACGGAAAAGAAAATGGACTCGATCTGCTAAGCAAGGACTTGGTGAGGCCATTAGAGAACAAGAGTGGAAATTCAGTGACAGATGATGTTGATATATTGCTGACACCCTGAATGAATTCTTTGTCTCACAATCCACAAGAGAAGCTGAAGGTCATAGAAGAAAGTTTAGAATGCATTTTTCAGAAGGAAAGTGAAATCTGCACGTCTTAAGGTCACTTCAAGGTTAACAATTAGGAACCTACTACAATTAAAACTTCACAAATGAGAGATATCCCACAGAAAGCAACTCTGTCCAGAAGAAAAATCTTGTTCTGAACAGGGAAGGTGTAAATCATGTTAATAACATTTAAAGACTTCTTTCCCTCAGATTACAAATGAGCAATCTTCTGGTGGGAAGACAGGATGGAACATAAGTACAGCTCTATAACAGAACAGACAGACTTTGATAAAACACTGAATTATATAAAAAATTAAAAGAGAAAATATAACAACATAGAAAAATGAAAGAAGAAAAATTTAAAAAAGATAAATCATCATCATCATCTAAAGATCTCCCCTGGTCCTTGCTGTGCCTCCATAAAGCCCACTAAAGGTCAGTGAACAGTCAGTCACCTGATCTTCCCCTGGGAAATCACAGATCTGCAAACTCCTGCACACACAGAGTGAAAAGTACTGGGGCTACCAGAGAAAGAAATGAGCAGGCATTTCAGAACATGTAAGAAACATGTTCACAGAGGAACAGTGCCTTGAGCATCAGTGTAAATCCTTAGCAAAAGTCATCATAAACAGAGGTAGCACAAGATCACTCAGCTTGAGAGGTATCTGAATTCTTCACTGATTTTGCTTCTGTGCCACTTAGACATAGGAGAAAAAAGCTGCTTTATTTTAAAAAGACTCTAAAGTGGTGGTGGGGAGGGAGAGGAGATAAAAAAATGAAGCAGCAAAGAGATCTGTGCTCCAAGAAATTCAGTATTTCATTTGATATAGGAGTGGAGCTTGTAAGAGTTTGACATCAGATCAGTGAGAGACACTGATGTACACAAGGTAAGGGAAAAAAAAGCGATCAAGGCTTAGCAGCTTGTAAACTCAAAAGGCTATAAATATGGATTAAGAAGCAAGGAAGAAAATTAATTTGGAATATAAATATTTACTTAGAAATAGCTACCAGCAAATTCAGATGGTCTAACAAGGAAGATGATAGATTTTAAGATAAATCAGACATTGATCAGATTTAACAACTGGAGGAGGAAGAATCATCAGATTTTTTAAATTACGTAATTTTGATAACATTCAAATATCAAAACATTACTTCTTGGTAGCTGTTACTTTAGTAGCCCCTTTCTCCTGCACTTTTAGTAGGAAGGCCTCAAAAGATGCATTTTTAAGGGAAGAATCTGTGGAGGACGAAAAATCCGATTGGGAGAGATATAAGGCTTGGAGAGACATTTATGGCAATTGAATGGACTTTCCACCTACTGGACTGACAGTTTTACCCTAGTTTACTGTTGGATTTTTATGAAGTTTAATGTACCCCCATATTGTCCCCCTTTGTCCCTCAGAGTTTCCCGCCAAAAGTTGTTTATCACCCTGTTCTCCCCTGCTTTCCCGCTCCACTGATTGGCCACAGTTTGCTGCAGTGTAGAGAGAGCTACCACTGACCCTTTCCCCTAGAGACTCAAGAGTTCCACCCACCTTTCCCCTGTCTCCCTATCATATCTTTCCCTGAGTTGTCAGTCTCATGCTCCTCCCCAGTTCTGAATCCTCCTCTCAGACCTACCCTATTTAAGCTTTCCCTGAATAAACTGGCATTGCTTCCCGAACCCTCTTCTGTGCCTGAACCCTTATTGCAGTGCCGCGTTCCCATTCCCCTTCCCCTTCGGGCCGCGGCAAGAATCGGTTTCAGTAACGTTTACAGACAAACACCAATGGCTAATACTGCATTTAGCCCTTAAATAGATCATATGAAGAGCACAGTATGAACACTGGCAATGACTCGACTGTAAAAGTTGTTTTGAAACTTGCACATAATTGGACTAAACTGCCTCTTCTCTTTAATGACTGAATTTAGTTTCCAAATTTGGATCTGTTATTTTACAAAAAAACCCACCCCAAACTCTTACAGGGTTTCTAATCAAAATACTTGTTAAGGATTTCAAAGGAACATCTCAAAATGCTCTGTCTTGAAATTCTTTCTCCATGACATTTGGGCAGCAAGTTTAGGAATTATCAAATACTCCACAGATTATGAACTTCCCACTTTGGTGAAGCTCTCATGAACTCAATGTCCACAAGGCTACGAGAAAATGCTGAACTCAAAAATTAGTTCTAGCATTCAGAATAATCAGTTTTGGTTCATTTAAATAAAAGGAGTTACTTAAACTCTTTGTGAAGTTAAAATTTCTCATGTACTTTCCTTCCCTCACTTATCAACCATATTGAGTGCAGAGACCCCAGTGAACTGATGAACACAATGGGAAAAGGGATAAGCAAAGACTTATGATGAAACAGAAGGAATAAGTGGAGTCTGGAGTGAGGAGAATGAAAAATGCCAGCAACAAAGTTAGCAGACCTGTGAGGAGGAAATACTGAGCAAAAGTCTTGATGTTTGAACCCAACAGGCACCTCAAATTGAAGATTATTTCCTTCTACTTGCTGCGCCAAGGACCTCCTGATTCTTTTAGATGACAATGGCATTAAGTGCCTGTGTACAATGCTCGAAAAAAGCTGTATTTTCACATACATGCACATGTACACAAACGTGTATTTATTCAATTGTATTTTACATATATACAAAAATATATGCATTTTTCTATATAAAAATATATATATGCATATACGCATAAATATGTATATGTGTAGACATATAAACAGACATACACACAACATGCAGTAAAAAAACAGTTCAGAAAAAATTCTATACATGTCTTGCACGGTAATTTAAAATTTGGCCCTTGCAAAGTAACACCTATGTCACAACAAATATATGAAAATTAAATATATGTGCTTTAGAGAAGAAAAGAGCTCTTACCTGCTTTACTACTGTCACAGTGCCAGGGGCCATCGTAACTACAGAAGCAACTGCGGTGGCATCATGGGACTCCGAACCCAACTCAATGATTTGCTGCAGGATGTTTACAGCTGTTGGATCAAGTCTTTCACCTGATCAGAACAAGAGCAGCCACAAGACCATTACAGTAAAACAGCTCTAAGGGTATGATAACCTAAGTGGTACAGGCTCTCTTTCCCCTTCCTGCCTTAGCCCCGACTCACTGTTTGTACATTTCAAACAGCTCAGTAACAAGACACTCCAATAACAGAACTATGGCAGGGAAATATTCACAAAACAAATGTGCCCACGGAATACATGAATCAGCAGGTGAAGCCACACTGATCACCTTTATGCCTATTTGAGAGAGATCTAAAAGAACATATTGAATAAGAACAACAAGCACAACTCACAGTAGTAACTGCAAATTAGTGAAGCTGCAAGACTTTACAAACCCAAATGTGTATTTGCCAGACGTTCACCTCAAACAGAACCTGACTATATACCTATAACCACAGTCAGAAAGCAAAAGAAACTGTCAGACTTATGTAAAGCTGCCTTATATTTGCTTTAATCACTGTTAGAAATAGGAAAGAGACAGCAAATAGAATAAATGTCATCTCTTAACCCCAAACCCTTTCACACTGAGGTTGATATTGCGATGGCAACCTAGGTCAGATAATTTAATTAAAACCAGAAAGTGGTTATATATTGTTATTTACATACAAAACAACTTTATCTGAGTACTGGAAAATGTTTGCTTGCTTTTTTTCCTATAAAACTGCCTTTAGACAAAATGCTACTGTTTTTCATACTGAGAGGGAATATGCTGAAAGAGTATCTGAAGCTGGCTGCATTAAAAGGAACATCATTCTACTCTGAAAACTACAGCCTTGTGCTTAAAATCAAAACTGCCATGTGCAGCATATTCCATAATCATGTTTATTTATTTATTTGTATTATGAGCTATAAAGACCACAATGGTAAACAACTGTAAAATGCTGTCTTCTGATAACTACTTATTTTTATATATATAAAACCAAAACACATAAAACAAACCTACTTTAGCCTCTGATGTTTTAACACTCTCAGAAATCTGGACATTTTTTCTTTTCCTCCATTTTTTTGTTATTTCTCCCTTAGCAACCATTATTTAATACCACTCTTTTCTTCCTCAGTCTGATACAGAATAGCTCACTTAGTTTTGTGTGCCATCAAAACTGAGTTTGTTAGTACTGCCTTGGGAACGTGGTAAATGAGCTATTCCACCGTGTCACTCCTGCAGACTGGCTGCCTCAAGCAGGGAGAGAAATAATAGCCAGGGAATTGCCATTAGATACACACCATCTACTCTGCCAAGATAGCTGATTTCACAGTATATTTAATAATAGAGGCAGGAAATTCCACACAGCTAATAATAAAGTGCAAAACAGGCTGTGATAAGCATTAATGACTTAAGGATACAGAAATTCATAAAGAATGGTAATTTCTCATTTATCCTCAAAGAAAATATAGCCCCCCAGAAGTAAGTTCTAGATGACTAATTTCATCGTTTTTAATAGGAGATCACAGGAGATCTTATATTGCCCAGCGTACACAAAAGAATTAGGTATTTATGAAAAAAAGATGTATTTTGTGTTCCAACCTAAAAAAAAGGTAGCTTACCATTCTCAGAAGTATATCTAAGGTTCTGTAATGCAGCTACAGCAGCTTGAGTGCCTTGAACATCTTCTCCAGCCTCTGTGATATGGACATACTGAGTGGATGCTTCTTCAGAAACTTCAGCAGTTAGCTTGGAAACAAAACCCAGCCAAGGCATAAATAACCTCAGTTTAGTAATTTAAAGAACAATATGGAATGTGATTTGGACAAAAAGTATTGTAACAAGAGTTATAGAAATACTGTGTGAAACAGAATTCAAGAAGAATATTACATGGGAGTTGGGATATCATCCCACAGTTACCTTCTAGATTCTATTTCAAAAGTTGTTTTAAATATGCTAAATTATCCAGACTTATTTTTGTTGCTGTTATTTTAGAACTAATAATGGACTTCTAATGTATCAGGGTTTAGCAGAGACCTTTTGAGCAAAATTAATGCAGATCTGGTAAAAAATGATTCAAGTTTGAAAATGGCATTTTGTTTCAGAAAAGTTATCCTTTCCATGAACTATGTTTTTCAAGACAAGCTCTTAATATGAACTCCTGCTCTGATGGGACTCTATAGCCAGTTCAGCAGCAGAGACATGTCTGCACATGGGATGTCCTCTCATTTTTTTAACTTTGGGCATCTACTGGGAAGGTGTACAGAGACTCATTTGAAATGTGGATACAAGACTTTGGAGGACTACATTTTAAAATGCTTGTCCTGTCTTCTTTGAATAACTGTCCAAATAGAACCTACTCCAGTGTTTATCAAGGACTTAACCTTCTGTGTGTGGATACTCAATAACTATTAGACAAGATCTGCAGGTCAGCTCTTACAAATCAGACATTAGATTAATAATGGGGGCCAGGCTGAAATTTAGCAGATGAGGTCTTAACAGTGCAGGTCAGCCAACTGCAGTTGACTTCTGGCTGCTTCTTCTCACTGAACATCAAAACCAGCCTACTTAGGCAGTGGAAGAGACTCAACTTGCCAACTGTAATTTTTTAAGTAAAAGTGTCTAAATCTGTGTTTTTTCCAGAGATTCTGCATCTGCAGTCAGCTCTGCTCTGTAAGGGTGAGAGTTTCCATTTTAAAACAAATTGCCCTAAGTATGACAGCAGAGGAGCTTGAAAGGGGTATTGTCCTCTCAAGGTAGCTGCCCTGCCCTACCTCACCCCAAATGGAGAAAATTCAGGTTGTTTGGTTTTTTCCAAACTCAGTTTCTTAGGTCTAACTTGACTTTTTTAAAGTCCGATCTTAGAGATACTGTGATTTTCACAGAATCACAGAATAGTCTGAGTTGGAAGGGATCCACATTTTCCATATAATTTGGACTGAAGCTGAAACCACAGAACAAATGATAGAAGACTTACTCTGTATAACATTACAATTTTTTCAGCTGTTCAATTACAGATTCAGTTTTCTAGATTCTAACCTTCTCTGGACCAAGAGATATTTTTTTTTTCATTAATTCAATACAAGTTTTCAGCTTTACTCATCTTGCAGTTAACACCAATTAAAATTTGGCATATAAAAAATGCAGTAAGTTTTTCAATTTCACATCTTTTTTGCTAAAACTTTCACCCTTTCTGCTGCAAATAGAGGACTAGAGTGCTCAAATGCAAAAAACAAGGATTTACAAGGTTGTTAATCCTACCATATATTAAAGTTTAACAGTCTTAGCAATGTATGCATCAAATGAAGACGAGATCACACGATCTTCTAAGCTTACATGAAGTCAAACCTACATTTCTGTACAGTTCTTATTATTATCCTTCCTTTTCTCCCCAGAATTTTAAAAGATCTCAGGGTCAAAGTTATGGCAACTTTGCTTTACCTCCCACTTGGTCTCCCCATCATTTTCCACCAGCTTCATTCCATGCTTGTTTTTAAGGTGCCTGTTGAACTCCCATTTTGTACCATACACAAAGCTGCAAACAGGACACTTAATGCCACCTATAGGGAAACACAAATAATTTCCTCGAGTTATTTTCATACAAATTCTTTTTCAAGGCAGTAACAAACTGTTTAATTTGATCCCATTTCTTAAGTTTCAAACAAACTAATATTTTTTGATACATTATCAAAGTAAACTAGGAAGAGTTAACAATGTAATGTCATCTTCAACAAACTATCTTTGCTTTTGAGAGTTTTATGTTAACGTACAAAACTGTAAATCAGTTTTCTGTGAACAAAATGATGCATAGAATGAATTTAGCACAATGTTCATTGTGTCAGCATGCAGCACTACAGGTAAAAAACTGAGCATGATGAAATCATAAGAATCAAATTTTCTACATTAGATTAAGCAGCTTTTAATTTTTTTTCTTATGAAAGTCATTTGGCCAAGTGTCACATCTCGGCTGCTTGTAATTATGCTAATAAGTATTTCTCTTTTTTCCCTCTATTGACTAAAGCAGAATGAAAATAATCTGCATGTGATAAAGTGTTGCATTAGGTGACCAGAACTCACTCTAACAAATCTAATGGCTGGGGAAGTGCCTCATGCCACTCTAGGAGCTATGATACCAGATGGCTGACTACACATTACTGTGGGAAATGATAATTCTTACCCATCATGTTCAAATACTTCAAAGAGACTCTCAGAAGCTGGTTATAAGCCAAGACCTAGTTGCACAGTATTTTATAAATAAGGTGATTAGAAAAAACCATCCCATTTTACATTAATGGAAACCTACCATATGGTATGCTACCAGGTGAAAAGAAATAAACTTTTTATTTTGATAAAACAGAATATAACTACACACAGTCACTAGGGTATTTCAGCAACCCTTATTATTCCTCTAAAAATCCCCCTCTTTGCTCTCTATTATAGGCCTTTACCAAATTTTACTGCTACAGTAGATGCTCAGTACTCCATCTTAAACAAAACTGAAATAGTTTCACTCAAATAGCTCAGATTAGAACAAAGATATATTTAGTTACAGAAAATGAAATTACATATTAATTTCACACCAATCTGTAGCATTAGGAAAAAGTCATTGGAGTGAAACAGTGAACACTCTTCCACATTACTTTGATATCGAAACTATTTTAACAACACATCAGGTAAATTAAATCTGTAACTTTTGTCATTATGGTTTTAATTAAAGAACAAATAACAGAAGCATAGCATTAAATTGGTAATACATAACTCCATGTCAGTGAGTTGATACGAAAGCTCAGAAAAATTAGTTTTATATAATTCTTTAAAATAATAGGTGACATACAAAGTCAATGAATTATACACCTTAACTACTTTCAAAACCAAAACTGATGTTTGCAGCAAAATACTGCACACAGATATTGTATAGCTCCACAACTTGCTTTCACTGACATCTGCTCTCCATTTTATTTTTAGCCTTAAATCTCCATAAGACAACTATTATTTTCTGTCCAAAGAAAGCATGTGATAGTATTTGTATAACAGAACATAGAGGCCACAACTGGATTGTCATGTATGTACTGCACAAGTCACTGCACAAACACAAAGTGAAAATCTGTCTCTCAGATATAAAAACAGAACAATGGATGGTAGGGAGTATCCATGAGGAGAAAAGAAACAATTTGGGAAAAATGTTATGTGATTTGCCCAACACAAAGCAAAAAAAAAAAATAAAAAGCTATGAAATGAGCAGGGCCTTGCAGAAAAACTATTGGGTAATGCATATCTAATACTCTTGTACCCTCTGCAGAATACATCAAATTCTCATGCTATTTATTTTCCTTTATTACTTTAAAATATGAAAATAAATGTCAGATCACAGACTTCTATTTAAACTAAGAAACATACACACACATTGCAAAATCCCAAGCATTTCTCTGATCCTAGGTGATCTCAATTTCTAATACAAGCTCAGAAATTAAATACTGCTGTCTATCCTTGGCAATGCAGTTGCTGAAATGAACACGGTCCCTTCTATGAATCATTCATTTATTTATAAACTCATTCTAGGAATCTTGAGTACAGTCCAGCAGTCTACATTCATATAAATATTTCCAATTAAGATTATTTGCAGTGCCTGCAATGCAATCAAAACCCAGCCGAGAGTAGAGGAGACAAACAAGTGTGAGGGAATTCACTCTGGGCTCAGTGGGTAACTTAGAACAAGTAGAATACAATATGAATAGATATAGACAGCTTTTATTAGATATTAATGTTTGTTACTTTCCCCTCTCAATTTCTTTCCAAATCCTGTTGCTTGCTGGTTCTCTTGCCTTTTCCTTTTCATCTACAGTCCTTTCATTTCAAAGGATTTGTTTAATATCAGGTCTGAAAGGTCTTCTTCCCTTATATGAATACATGAATAATTTTCCAAAATTGCTCTTTGCATCTATGAATACAGTAAACTGGAACTAAACAGAAGCTTGTCAGACAGCAAGGTGCAACTCCTGGCCCAAATAGCTCAGAAACACATGGAATCATAGAATGGTTTGAATTAGAAGGGACCTCAAATATCGTCTTGTTCCAACCCCTCTGCCATGGGCAGGGACACCTTCCAGTACACCAGGTTGCTCAGAGCCCCATCCAACCTGGCCTCGAACACTTCCAGAAATGGGGCATCTACAGCTTCTCTGGGCAACTTGTTCCAGGACCTCACCACCCTCACAGTAAAGGATTTCTTCCTAATATCTAATAACCTGCATGACATACAAGTGTCATATATGACAAGTATGACATACTTGTCATACTGCCTAATGTGTCCACAGTGATCTGTTTGTGCTGTGTAAACCAAATAGAGAACATCATCTGATTTCCAAACGAGGAAAACTTTTATTAACTTCAACAGGATTCATGTTTATAACCTCCAAAGGCAAATGTTTCCCACAAGGAACACTTTTTCCCCCAGTGAGATACCAAAAGACTGAGAAAAACTGATGTTTCTATAGCATGCTAAGAAATCTCTGGTCTTATTTTGAGCCCATGTGCAAGATATATGTGATCCATCACAGAGAAGGAAACTGAGTTGGAAAAGGAAGCTGAATGTGGGAAAATCGCACCTATTAACATGGTTTTCTTCATAGCAGAGTCCTGAGAAGAGACACTGACTTTTTAGCTCCTACATGGATTCGATGCCCTGTTACTGCTCTAAAGCTCCTCAAATGAGGTGAACACGTGGAAAACAGGCACAGCACTACAGGCAGCACAGGAAGTATAAATGATGTGTAAGGAAGGGAAGAGAAAGAGGGATGCAAAGTCAGACAGAAAGAACAGAATAGGCTATTTTGGTTCAAGGGACCCACAACAACCATCCAGCCTGATGGATTCAGGGCTGACCAAAAGCTAAAGCGTGTTGCTAAGGGCATTGTCCAGATGACTCTTAAACACTGACAGGCTTGGGGCATCAACACCTCTCTAGGAAGCTTATTCAGCTGTTTGACCACCCTTTCAGTACAGAAATGCTTCCTAATGTCCAGTCTAAGACTCCCAGGCATGGTTTTGAACCATTACAATGCATCCTGTCACTGGATACCAGGGAGAAGAGCTCATCACCTCTCTCTTCCCTTTGTCTCCTTAGGAAGTCACAGAGAGCAATGAGGTCACCCCTCAGTCATCTACCTTTTCTCCAAACTAGACAAGCTCAGAGCCCTCAGTTGCTCCTCACAGGACGTCTTCCAGCCATTTCATCAGCTTTGTTTCCCGCTGGATGCAGTCAGGGACCTTCACATCCTTCTGGATGCAATCTTGTGCCATATGCTCTAGGATGACCCTGCTTGAGCAGGAAAGTTGGACCAGATGACCCACTGCAGTCCCTTTCAACCTGACCCATTCTGTGATTCTGTGTCTGCAGGGCTGATCTCCAGCCACTCCTCTCCCCATTTAGACTTGTGCCACACATAATTCTGTCCTAGGTGCAGAATCTGGCATTTGGACTTGTTAAATTTCATCCTCTTAATCACTGTCCAGTGTTCCAATGTGGTGGAAAAAGGATGCCCACTACAGAAAAAATAAAAGGTTCTTCTCTCTCATCTCACTCTAATTTCTTCATTGTAAGACTACTGCATTTTCAAAAACATTTCAGTTCTTTTGTTTCAGTGGAAAAGAATTATTTCCAGAAGTGCATTTATCTGGCTCCCACAGGGGAAGGAAAGCTTAATTAGGATATGAATAATTTTATTTGTTCAAAACATTGCAAGTATGATCCCTAATTTATATTAACAGAATTCATCCTCGGGTCCCTATTCTTAAGAGTGGCTATGAATAAATAATTCCTTGCAGTGCTCAGATATTTGGAAAGTTAAATAAAGCTCCCCATAGTGCACAGTTCTTCCTGCACCAGGGTGACTACAGAATAGAGGCTCTGAGCACTGACCAAGTCAATATTACTTCTTTAAAACAACTGCAGGTTCCCTGTCAGCTTTCACTGTCTGTGAAAATAATCCTAAAATTATACTGTGCATTCTTACCCTGAAATTTATAGACAGAGATTTACTTTTTAAACTATTTTTGGTTGGTTGGTTGGTTTTTGACAAAAAGGAAACAAAGAAATGTCATATAATATAACACAGGCTCAAATTCCTCAATGTAGTTATATATTTTTCCATTATAGGGCAAGTTTATAGGAAGAATCTCAGACTTGGAGTATCTTTCTCTGTGCCATGACTTCAGTATTTTAACATGGATTAATGCCTTCAATAAATTAATGTTCTATCTTAGATGACTTGGAAATACCATCTATTAATAATGTCATATTAGAAAAATTACATTTAATTCATCTAACACAAGGGCATTATTTTGGTCTCTGTTTCACTTCAACAAAACCAAACACTCTGAAGATTCCAGAAGATATTATGAAACTGCTGGTAGTTTCTATTAAAAAATAGGGAAAAACACAATTCACAACCAGTTTTACCAGAACTCTTTTTGTCCCCAGGTTTTCTAGTGGAGGAATAATTTGCTGCCATTTTACTCTTCAGTCTCTTTCCTTACACTTGTTCATCCTTACCTTGAGTTCAACCTTGCAGAACTGTCACAGAAATTTATCATTCATTCAAACAGACAGTGATACTTTACTTACAGAAAGAGACAAACAAGTGTAAATGATAAATGTATGAAACAATGAATAGTACAGGCAAGGTCAAACAAAACTTTGGTTCACCCTCTCTTAAAAACCAAGAACAAAGGACACTGAATGAAGGGTAAAGGGTGGCCATTTCAGAATTGCAAAGAAGTAGCAATGGTTTATCATATAACACCCAATAAACTGAGGAATGCATATTGCACAAAAGCTTATCTTTATACCAAGTTTGCTTAAAAAAAAAAAAAAAAAAAAAAAAAAAGTTATATGGTGAAGATGTACCTTGTTGGATAAGGGCTTCGGCTGCAGGCTCCCCAGACCCTACATTTACATACTCTTCATTAGGATGCTTCCTGTTGTAATGCCTCTTCAGGGAACCAGATATATTGCAGGAATAGTGGCAATGTGCACATCGGAAGGGCTGTGAGTAAAAATGAAGATGTTAGATTGATCTCCTCACCTCTTCAGGATACAGGTCTAAGCTGCAATGTTTTGATCCCAAGAAACCATATTCATTTCTGGCTTAGGCACCTTGCAAGGACACCTTCCAAAATTCAATATAAATGGAAGTTGAAACAAAACATTACCTAAAATTTGGTATCTTTTATTATGTGCAAGACACCGAGTATTTTCAACATTATTTTTTGTAATTCAGTAAACTGTGTTTTCATAATTGAAGATCACAGGTCTGACCACGTGGAAATTTTCTACTACAAGGAAATTATTCAGCTGCTATGAGCTTTGGTCTGAAAAGAAGGAGCAAGACAGCTCAAATGACTGAAGGTACAAATGACAGCCAACCTAATTTAACAGGTAACTGTACCTGGCAGGGCTCATCTCTTTCCTTTCCTTCTCTCTCCAGTATGCTCCCAACTGCTTCCCTTTCACTGGCACTTACATTCCTCTCACCATTTGGTGGGTTAATTTTGGGAATTAAATTAATTAATTTTTAAGAACATATGTCTCCCTTCAACTGACAGGGAGAGACATTTCTAAAGCAAAAAGGACAAGGAAAAAAATAAAGCACTTGTGACTGAAGTTAACCTTTGAGAATAACTTCCTGACTGAGATATATCACAGTTACAGGAAGCTTGCCATAACCATCAGGGTCCTGGAAAAGGACCAAAGTCCTTAGGGAAAAGTCAAGTACCTCAGAATGGGACGGAAAATGTTTCATGCTCAGCAAACAGGGTCACCTAAAGTTAGTCAGCAGAAAATGGTTGGTACATAAATGTTTACAGAAGATGAATTTAAAGCAGGGAAATATCTGCAGTCAGGGTCCATTGACCAGAACACTCCCCAAAGCTTGTTGCTTATGACCTTCCTTCAGGCTCCAAACAGCAAAAATAAGGAAGAAAAGTGATGTTCAGGCTCCCTTAGCCCTACACTTCAGAGGGTACTGTGACATTCAGCTATGCAATTTCACAGAGAGGGGTACTCTGCTTTTCTATTGCTGAAACTGCTGTTTTTTCAAGAAAATAATCCAGACATACTGCTGTGTTCTTGTACCACTCTCAACATTCTTGCAAGTCATGTATATTACTTGCTATTGAATAGCAGGATTGCAAATCCATGGAGCTGGGAAATATGATAGATTAAAGGATCATTAGGTCATGTAAGTAGTGACATTTCTCTGAGTCTGATAAGCATGCAAACATCTGTCCTAGAATGAAGGAACACATTACCAACAAAAAGGTTTTGAACTCCTTTAAATAAATACTAATGATTGATCAGCTTCAGTGTTCTGCAGTTCTCTTGACAATGCCTTGAATTGCTACACTTATGTGCAGGCTGATCCTGAGGTCAGAATCAGCTGTATTTCAAGAACTGCTCTACAAGTACATTCATCACTTTAGCCATCAAAAAGGAAAATTATGTATTTTCATTTACAAAAAATCCTTTTCGAAAGATAAGTCCAGAGTAAAGCCACATACTTAAGAAAGAAAAATTATTTGTTCAAAATGTATCATCTCTTTAGACGACTGGTTTCATTTTCTTAAATAACTCGTCCTCCAAAATTTAAATCATCATTGAAAAGACTGCTTTCCTTTCTGCTTTATGGTGCTTACTAAGAATGGCTGCAGTGTACTCTTTCTAGAAGCAAAATGATCTGTCAGATAATGCAAGATGTTGCACATGAAAACAGTATGATGTTTTCAATAAGAAATATGCTTATTGCCAAGATAAAGCATTACATTAAAGTGCATATTTTCATAAATATAAAACATTGGTTTTTTCTGGAAAATAAACTAGTATAATTTCTAGTTACTGAATATAACATTTCACAATTCATTACATCAAGATTATCACAGTGAGAACCAACACGAAATCTAGAAATAAAACCATTCTACAGTTTATTAAAATAAACCATATCTCTAATTTAAATACTTCCTAGAGACATTAACAATCTTCAAAACTCTTTCCAAGACATATTTCAGATAAAAGGTGTGTTTTAAAATTAATTCTCTTCAATTTTCAAGTATATAAACTCATCTATAGTACAAAAGACTGGTAAACTTTCAGAGAAAAACAAAGTGAGAAATGAACAGTGATGTATGGGATTTGCTTTCCTATCTCACTAGAACATTTTAAGGTATGTATTAGATTTGTTCTCTCAAGGACTGACCATCAAAAAAACCCAATCATGTTTGGTTTATATTGCAACTTACAGATATTTTTGTCAAGTAAAGATACTAATAACAAATTGTCCATGGACAAAATAACCCTATCTCAAAAGTCTGAATATAAAGTTAAAATTTCCAAAATATTAAAATGTTCATGTACCATTATTGTCACCAAACAGGAAAATGTGCCAGTTTTAAACTGTTGTCGAAAGTTTCATGTATTTCTTAACCACTTTAAGTATGATTTAAATAATCATGCTTTTTGTTTCCTTACCTTGAAAGAGACATGTTGTTCCATATGACGTAGGAGCTGTGGTTTTTGGGCAGCTGTATAGTCACACACCGTACATTTAAACTGCTTTCCTGAAATGGGAATAGAAAATGGAATATTTTTTTCCTATTTAAGTTCAGAAAACTACTGGTTCTATTATCTTATAAAGATGAATTCCAAAATGCTAAGAATGAATAATGAACAATACAAGAAGTCTGGCACTTACTCTGCAAAATTTTGGTTAAATAGAGCTAAGACCAGAGTACGGAAGAAAAAAGGCTCGAGTGTCATCTTTAAATTATAAGCATTAAATAATCTAGATTCTCCTGGAATAGTCACTTGGGAAAGAAGAAAGAGAATTGTTATAGTGCAGTCTAAATAGAAGAAAAAAATCCATTGTTTACAACTGCAGGCACAGATACTTTGCTGTTTGTAAAGCACATTTCGAAATTCTTGAAACACAGATGTTTGATCATGTTTACACGGTTTTAGCTACTTCTGTACCAAGCACTGAATTGTTAAGATTCAAATGCATTTTCTCTTCAAAGCACTCTCTCTCACAAATCTTTTTTTCCGTTATATTTTAAATTAACAGAATTTCCTTCCTTTATTTTCTGGGTCTCATACTCCCTTTCTCCATATTTTGCCTTTAAGATTCTATTAGTCCTGTTACCTCCAGCCAAATTAGAAGGTGTATTAATTACAGAAGGACTTCATTCCTGAATTAAACACCCTCTCTGGCAAACTGCATTTGTCTGATGTGGAATAAGAATATGCTGAAAACTACTCCAAAAGCAAAAAAGCCAAAATGAACAATGAAGAAGTAAAATAGAAAATATTCTCTATTATCATAAAAAGATTGAGTTTCTTTAGATTCTGGATCTTGCTGAAAAAATTACAAGCATTTTATACTAAGTGTGAAAGTTTCTATAAAACACAGCTAAAAAATCCTTAACACGTTTTCTGGTATCTAAATAAAATAATGAAAAACTGGTTTATTTATTTATTTATTCTGTTTTATTTCTAACCACAACAGTAACAACCCTGGACTACAGAATTGTTTTCTATCATGTCACTCTTGAGAAGTCTGTCTTCGGGAGAAGAATAAATCAGACAGAAAACTGCTTTATATTCCACTGGTTAAACTGACCTTGCAGGGCTGGTATTTGAACAAAAATTGCCTGGATTCATAAGTCAGGAAGACAAGACTCATAAACAGCGAAACATCTTTCAAATTCATTTATTTCTGAAATGACTGAAGAACACAAGACGTGTATTGGTAAGAACTTCTGCAGTGCTGTCACTACGGAAGGGGACACTGGGCAAAGAGAAACTGTCAGCATTCAAGAGGCTGAAAGTCCCCTGACAAACCACAAACACCACATTCCTGGTTCAGGGTTTCAGCCTGACCTAGTAGTAATTTATAAGAGACCATCATTCCTTGCATGCAATTAAACATTTAAAACCAACTTCGCACCTATAAAACCAAATCCAGACACGGTGAGCTCCTGCTCGACCACAGTGCTACTCTTGACAGTACCAAATTTCAAAGCTGCCTCAGCTGAATTGCACCAATTACTTACACACACACACATTTTGTCCAAGAGGTAGAACAGGTGAAAAGAAATTCAGCTTTCATTGCTGAATTTCACTATTTGAACACGCCAGATGGTGAAAACAAAACAGAAAGGTTTTGAAATTTAATACCATGCAGTGATTTTTTTTACAGAAAGAGACCTTTTTATTTTTTTTTTGTAGTTTGATCATGCTTGAAATTTCCTTTTCATTCAAATACGACAACCTGCCTCCTTCTCACAGCCAGGAATCAGCTGAGGACTGCATTTGATAAGTAAAATCTTGATTCTTGCATACGAAGTTTAGATGTTATGTGCCACACCCGCTTGTTACTGACCAAGTTATTTCAAAATACTGAAAAGTACTTTTTGAATAATGAGTCATTTATTAACTTATGGTAATTCTGCAATAACTTTGCTAATAAAATAACAACTACATGCTTCCTGTAACATTTTACATTTGTTGATGTAAAAGGGATTGTCTGTTTCACTTATACATACATATGTAAGTATAAATAAGTATCTCTGACACAGAAACCTCACACACATTCTAAAGATGTAATAGAGCACTGTGCATTTTCTGGGAAAGGATAATGCTAATGAATATGTAGTTTTTAAAAAAATAATTTAAATTAAATAGTCAATAAAGAGTAGAATGAGTTTTCACACAGGTGAGCAACAAAGATCAAGACATAATGAAGGTCTGTAAAACTTATCTGCTAAATCATTTACTTCAATTTGACAATCACATAAGAATAAGGTATTGTTGTGTTCTAAATACAATATATGTACACAAAATATGATATTTTCTGGATGTGCATCTTACTTTTTTCAGTTATCATCACAGAAATATTAAAATTACAGGCCAAATGATGTGCTGCATGTGAGACTGTAGAGAATACATGCCCAGGCTTGTCACTGGCTGATTACATATGGGGACACAGGCCCTGAGTCTACTGGGCTGCTGGATTTGACAAGAGAATCCTAACAATGTTCTCACAGAAGAAGTAGTAAGGGACTGAACCACAGAAATATTTGTATTTTCAAATTTCTATTGAAATAAAAATTCTCTGTAAGAACATGAAGGGATATAAAGCCAACAGAAATTTAAGAAAAAACCCCAAGTATTTCAGAGACATCTGTCTGTCTTTCACAGAAATTAATTTTGCAAAGTTTTGAATTGTTTCCCAAATGGTGTCTCCTAGAAATAAACAAAACTTGTAAATCACACTTGGTGTTCAACTCAAAAACATATAATGTCTTAAAATAAATCTAATAAACATCCACCTACCATCAGCAGTATGAAGGAGTTTATGGCTCTTCAAAGTGCCTTTTGATTTGAACTTTTTCCCACACATATCACAGAGGTGTGTTTTCTCAGTGCTGTGACGATTCATGTGGGCTTTCAAGTTACTCTTGCTGCGCGTGGCGTACTCACAGAGAGAGCACTTGAAGGGTTTGACACCTAAACACGAAAGAATGTACCATGAAACAACCAGGATGTACCTTTTGACAAGAGGGTGGACATTTCCTTGAAAGAAATTTCACATCACGTGAGCAACATCAACAACGAGGTCACCATTTCAAAATTTGGATATCCACATTTAACAAATTTCATCTACAGCTTCTGTGTAAACAATACCGAGCTCTTGACAGCATCACTTAACTTGCTCAGAGAAAGGAAGAGTTCTTTTAGAATCAAATATTGCCCTATTGAAGCCAGTACTAAATTTAGCCAAGCAAACACTAATATTTGGGCTTTGCTGTGTCTATCCTTCATTTAGAAGTAGAATCCAGACTGCCTAAATTGATGCCTAGCTGGTGTATTTATGTCCCACTAAGAGTCTTCAGATCACCACCATTCTCTGTTTAGTCCAATAAACAATGAAGAAAGCTGTTTTAAAGAGGACTGTTTCATTAGGTACTTAGTTTGTTAGCAGAAGTTAAATGTGTGAAGCTGTGTTTTATTGTTAATTAATATCAGATTTGCTAATGTCTCATGCAGTGGTATCCCTTAAGCAAGCGCATCTTATCAGGTATCCCTCAACAAGACGCAAGCACTTAAAATTGCATCTTCTCTCAAACTGTCCAAAGCACACAGAGAGACACCCAGAATGTCATTTAACAGAAGTTCTATAAGAACAAAGTAAATCCTTCAAAGAAAAGTCAAATAAATCTGAACTGGTAGAGTAGCTCAACAGTTTCATGAGGCTCTGCCAGTTTTAGATTGATATTCGTGACCTTAAAACTAGATTTACAAGCATGAGGAATTATAGTCTGCTTTAAGCAGGCTTGATTGCACACTTTGATTCAGGAGTAAGTTTCTATTCACCTCCTTCTCCCAACAGTCAGATGAGATAGGTTCCAAGCTTTCCTGTCAGAATACAAAAACTCTGTCTACGGAATACACAAGGAATTGCCCTAACCTACATTCTGTATTACCCAAATTCTTAATGGAATAAAGGCCATTGGAGAGGACCCTGCTACGGTACACAGGCAAGTAAACTCACAGTTAAATCCTTCAAACAAATATGCTGAACTGCCTATATAGGAACAAACACTTTGGAACCAAGACAGCAGTTTGAGAGTACCAAATCCCATTATCCTCTTCATGCAGTGGGCTGGCTAAAGAATCCAAAAGCATAGGCAATCTGTTCTATAAATTATTAACGTGACTAAAGACCACATAAGTGGTCTTCAACATATTATAAAAATACACAGACTGGGTACACACAGGATTCTACTGGGCAGAGATTTTTAAGTTCAAGGGATTTTTAACCAGTGTTGTCACATTACTGGAATTTCTCCCTAAAAAGTCACAGATGTGATCAGTATTATCTTACGAGTTTTTGATCAATGTCTGTGTCTGTGTCAGTTAGCTGTCATGATCTGCATGATTTAATTAAAATACAGAATTTATATGTATACATCAAAGCCACTGGATTCCAATTGTTTTACTAATAGATTTCCAGACCATGTATTTTTGGGCGAATGTGAAAGGAGCAGCAGTGACTCATAAGAAGATAGAGGAAAAAATACTTTACAGATGTTCATTAATGAATTTGGAAAAAATTGCATGAGAATATTATTAATTTCATAAAACATTTAAGCTGTCTATTCACGTTATGAGTATGTGGTCCAGAAGGCATTAAACTAATTAATTAACCTCTAATGTGGCTTAAAGTGTTTGAGTCAGGTATAGAAATAAATCTGAATCCTTTTTTTTACGTTGGCGAAGCTTTAGTGGAATATGAGACTCATTATATGCCCAAAAGCTTAAACCCAGAGTTTTACCTTCATGAGCCCAAATATGACGTTGAAGGTCTGATCCATTCTTCATAAAATAAAAATCACAGTAGGGACATTTCACAGCTCGTTTTCCAATAAGTCCTTTCAGCTGAACTCTTCTGCCAAGAATCTCAGAAATAGTATTCATTGAAACCTCTGAGAGAAATGCAAAAGGTAATAAGAACCAGAAGTACATGAGGGAATTTGTTCTCTAAGTAATATTGAAGAGCTAGATCCTGAATCACTACAACTTTTTAAAAGCTCTATTTCCCCTACTGCCACTCAAAACGGACTTGGGTAAAGAGCACAAGGACCTTTTTTCCTTTAGGCTTCCTAGGTTGCTCTGTCCTTTCTCTTCTGATCTGCAAACTCACTGTCCTCACTGCCCTCACTGCCTGTTTTAAAAAAAATAACATTTTAAATATTAAAAAAAAATGTAGTTGCACCACTGGCTTAGAAATAATTTTCTGACTATGAACCTTCCTCATAAATTAACTGGCACTTTTTTCTTCAATATTTTCAAAAACCGTATTCAAGATTTCACCCCAGATTTCCAGATGTCAAGGATCTGAAGACAATTTACTTCAACCGCAGCTATAATGATCAGAATGCTGATAATCAGATACTTTAAAGGAAAAACCACTCATGGAATAAATGTGATTGGAAGGAACCTTTAAGGTCACCTGCTCCAAACAGGGTCAACTTTAGAGTTCTAACTTCAAATTTACAGTAAGTTGCTTGGGGTCATATCCAGTCCTGTTCTGAACATATCCAAGGGTGCAAATTCTACAGCCTCTCTTGGCCCATTCCAGTGTTTAAGCACCTTAACAGTCAAAATTATTTTCCTAATTCTAATCAGAATCTCCTTCCTTCAACTCACATCCCTTCACTGTACAGCTTTAAGAAGATTCTGGCTCTGTCTTCTTTTTAATTAGATTGCAGAAGACAGTAATTAAGATTTCTCTCCTGGCCTTTGCTCATTCAGGCTAAACACAACTCAAAGCTTTTCCTTCATATATGATCTAATGTTTTGGTTGTCACAGTGAAAAAGCTCAAAATAATTAAGTTTAAATTAAAGTGTCCCAAACATGCATAATGAAAACACTGCCAAATGCTTTAAAAAAGTAAATCAAATTGCTCAATGAAGTCAGATGAATGAAATGCTATCTCCTGACTTAATGAAAGTACAGCACTCATGCAATCTAAACATTAATACAGGAAAACTGGTGACTTAATATGTCCCAGATCTTATGAATTTGGAAGTTACTGTCTAAAATTAGATTTTTACCAAAAATGAACTCTCATACCTAGTCTCCTGATGATCGGCCCCAGAATGAAATCAAAAATCCTGCCTGAACTCATATGCCCAAGGAAAACAACCTCAAAAGGTAACTACAAAAGTCCATGAACTGAGCAGAGATAAGCTGTAAAGTACTCAAAAAAGAAAAACAGAGACACAAGTCTGAACCTGCATCTGCCTTCCATGGCTTAGATCCTTCATTGATGACTGCAGCCTAGGATGTCTGCTCAGTGGGGATCTATGAAAGCTGGTGCCTCTCATGTCTCAGAACTATTAAGAAATATCATATTAAATCAGTCAGAGGATGAAAGGTAGATAATTCTGAGAGCTGGGACCAGAATCCAATTCTCCTCCTTCACTGCTGAGTACTCTAATCTTTGGGCAATAAAGCCAAGCTCTTATCTCTTTGGTTTGAAATACTGCTCTGCCAAAGTCTATAGAGATTTTCCCTTTATGGGACCAAAATTCAACTCCTCTGCAAATGCAGAAGAGGAAGGAGTGTTGTTTGATTTCATACTTTCTACTTGATGGGACAGAAGAGACAAGGGAGGGTTCATGCTGAATGATACTAAGAAAGGAAGGAAAGGGGAGTTCTAAAAATAGCATTTTAATGATAAATACAAAAGGGTGTCAGTTTAAATTAATTTTTGATATGTCATTTTAAATTCAATTCATTTTAACAGCACCCATTTTTTCTTTCATCTTAATACTTTTTCATTTACATTTTTGAAAACAATTGCACTCATTCCACTGCAGTATTTAATAGCTTGTACCATCAGACCCTTCACATTTATTTGGCTTGTAATTAAGTAAGTTGTACAAATAAAGGATTTCCTCCTGATTACAAGAAGAGAATTCACAGAAAAAAAGATTTGTGTGCTAATTCTCATCCATATATTAAAACAGGGTTGTTGCATAACTACTGCATAGGCATATCTTAGATGTAGTATTTATTCAGTGCCATGGAGATATATCTGATAAATCTGCTATTTTGTCTTTAAGCTCTACTTGCCTATGATACATGAATGAAAAATGAGGACACAAAATAATAGGCTGTGCAGATTTTCTTTTTTAACCTTACTTCTGTTATAACACAGAGTTCCAAACAACCCACTTGGATCAAAAAATTTACACTATACTTTTAGAGGGAATCAGATACCAATTGAATTCTTCCGAAGTATTTAAATGCATGAGTTTTGTATTTCAGGGCTACAGAGTATTTCTGGACTCCAGAGTATTTCTGGACCTCAGACACAGCATACACAGAATTCAGCAGAAAATGGACCAGTGCAGGCTAATGGGAACCTGTAAGGCACAGTACATAATGTCCTGCTAGTCCACACATCCTGTTATTTAGGGAGGTCTCCTATGCTCCCTGGCTGAGGCACCACAAAGGCTTAATAGGCACAGCTCTTGAGATTCTATTTCTATGCTTACTGGTGATATACCTCCTGACTACAGTATAGCTCAGAGGCCTTTTCTCATCTCAATTTGCTGCATCAGACATGTCCGCTGACGTCCGACAACGCCCTCCAACCACACTGCTGTGGAGTGGTCTGCAAATAGAGAGGTTTAGTAACTAAAGAGCTGAAGTGGGAGTTAGTCTGAAATTAAAGTGAAGGAAATTGTTTAAAACACGGGTCTAGCACTATCTAGTGGCAGTAGAAAGATAAGAAACTACTGCTTTATCTATTACGTTGTACTTCTGGCAAAGGCAAGAAAAGTTACATCCTTTTAACAGGATTTTTCCTTCCCCAAACTCAGTTTGAGCATGGCCCGTATTTTCTTTTTTAATATCAAATTATGTCAGGTGATAAGTAACACTGTAGATGACTTAATTAAAATGTGTTGGCAGATGCTGTCACCTCTTCTTTCTCTGCAGTAGCAGTGGGTCTTTCTATCCAACATAACACAGTTACTGAGGAGGAAATCAGGGCCACACCAATGTGGCTCTGCCGAGTTCACATCAGTCGGATTTAAATCAGTCCCTGCACCAGGACTTTGGCACTGGATTCCCAAGATCTGAGAAAGGATTGTTTACTCGGGCACGGTACACTGACTTTCCACATTCCTGTTATGTTGTGCTTGCACTGATAAATCAGGGCACCAGAACGCAAGGAACAAACAGAGTTTGGATGGGCTGCAGTGGCTGGCTGGATCCAGCCAGGCTTGACAGCTCCAGCTTAGTACTGGCCACACTACATCCCAGCTGGTTCTAGCAGGAGCCCTGATGGAGACTTATCTGGCCCTGGAGGTACAGCCCAGCCCCACAGGACCTGAGCACACAGAGTCAGCTCTGCATTCACATCAGTCACCTACAGACAAATATTGTGCACTAAATGCATTCCTGTCAGTTCATGTAAGGCCAATGGGAATTTTATGTCTCCTGGGTTGTTATAGGATGTCTATATGCCTGATTCTAAACTTCCCAATGCTTAATCTGAATTCACTTAGGTCTTCTTTTGGAAATGAGCTCTTCATCAGATGAAGTCAGATTTCTTAGTACAATTACCTGACATACTCCAAACACACTCTCAAACAGTAACATTTTTCACTTTAAATTCTAACATCTGCAAACCCAACACAATTTTTACTCTAAACCAGTTAAATTAGACATAGACTCTTCTCTTTCTTAGGAATATAATTACATTACACTGCTCACTCTAAACCTTTATCCATTTATTGAAATAGATTGAGAAATTTCCCTTGATTTTTTCCTTACCAGGGTGATTTGTCTTGATGTGAGATTTTATAAGTCGATCTTCAGAAAATGACTTCTCACATACGGGACAGGAATAACTCTTTTTATCCTTAAGTGAGAAAGAAAGAGATTGCATGATCAGTCCACCGGTATAATCACTTTAGTCATTATTCAGTAATACATGGTTCTCAACAAAGTTATAATTGAAGGTTCAGTTTTTAAGGAAGAAATGAAGCTATTTATAGCGAAATAAGTGAAGGAGAAATATTAAAAGTACTCTAAGCATCATTAATCCTCATGAATGTAGGGCTCCAAGTTACAGCAGACGAGAATATGCACAATAAATGTAAGCATTATCCTCTGACTGACTCTGTAGAGAATCAAAAGTTGAAAGATCAAGTCACATAACAGAAGAAAATGTATTTGAAATGAGTAGTAATATACAGGGTTTTTTCTTTATTTTTTTTTCCACAAGTCCACTCTTCTGAAACCTAAGGATCAGATCTTATTATTCTGAAGACATGCATCACTATATGGATTTACAAAATGGCCTGAAATGGAGCAGCAAAGTTAGCAATGACAGATGCCATTACTTATTCAGTGTCTACATTTCTAACCACTTTATGAATATTCAGCATTTGATGTATTACCAGTAAAGTCTTTTTCTAATATTTTGATTTAAAAACTTACAGACTACTCTGGATTTTTTCAGTGTCACTGATGTTATAACAGATTTAACACCATCAATCAAGTTTAACTGGAGAATTTTGACTGAATTTGTTCCTATACGCAATTTTAGTCTAATTGCAATTTTCCTGTTTTTACAAATGCGTCTAACTCTACATAAAAATGTAGGACTTTTCTCCATTAACTGCTAAATTATTCAATTTAAAATAAATCTTGCCACTTATTAAATAAATTGAAGAGGTTGATTTTTCCAGAAGCACGATCTAAGACAACAGACTGGATGCTCAATCAAATGAATGGATCATCCAGTCACCTCTGCACTGAGGGGATTAACATATGAGTGGATCATCAAAACCACAGATGGAGGGAAGCCTACTTAGTCCTGACAGCTGGGTAGATAACCAGGTAACACACTACCTCGTGGGAGAGGTGCACCTACCAAACTACCAGAGGTCTCTGGTAAGCTGAATCTACAGAACAGATATTTCACTACTTATTTGAGGAGAACAGAAGTACTTCTTGAAGAGCATGGAAGGAAGATTACTGATCAAAAAGACAGACCCCTGTCTTATGAGAGAAAAATTTGGAGGTAACAGGAGAATAAGGGTCCTGAACTCTACCAGTTTCTGACCTTAGACCAAAGAGCATCTCTGAACGGTGAGGAAAAATTTACAAGGAGGTCATTACTTCCAAATGCTGCCGTTACACAGCTATAAATGGACATGTCTCTTAAAAGAAAAGCAAAATTGATGGGTTTCCAAGGCACTGGAATATACACAGGCATTTGCACTCAGTGCATTATGTACCTCGGAAAAAGAAATCCCTATGTTGAAGCACCTACGAGTCAAACCCAGAAGTAGCTCTAGAACTCATGGGCTAAAATAGCAATAAATACTTCCACGACACTAGGATATGGGATATGGAGCTCTCACTGCCATTAATATGGCAACGGGAGTCACAAGGAGAATCCTGTCTGAGCTGTTAGATTATTTGCTCCTGAGAGAAACTCTGCACCGGGGACAGGGGATAACAGCTATTAAAGGATTACCATCCCGAGGACAGTATCCTGCCTGCTATGATGGAGTTGGGGCTGTCATCATTTGGAGTCCTGAGAAACCCAGGTTAAAAAAAAGAGGAATATCAGAGAACATTACCTCTTTTTTTGGAAGAAGAGATTCAAGGAGCCTACAATGCTGTCTAAACCTTGAAGAAGAGCTGTTAATTTGCAGAATTAGGGTCTCTCAAACGATATAACCAAAATCTGCTACCAATTATTTCAGATTTCTAACTGAACACATCACTCCAATGAAGAGTGGTAGACTAATCCTAATAAAACTCCACAGCAACGTTTGCACCTTTTCAAAGATGGGGTTGCATAATCATATTCATAATTTGGCACACATAAGAAAAACATAAGCACAGTATCATTTAGGGGGCTCTTTAGGGGGCAGCTGAAATTTTTTGACAGATCTCAGTTCATTCCTCAAGCTTGCTATATAACTAGTTGCAAAATATATAATAAATAAGGACAAAAACTAATATATTTTTAATGTACAGTTGGGTGTTGCTGGTCTTTGATACTCACTGTATTAAGTGTGATCAGAACACTGAGACAAATACATCTTGCTGTTTCATAAAGTTAAATAAGAAAAAAAATTTCAACACTCCACACACACACACCACCCTCCCCCCTATTTTAACTAAAATGCTGTAATTGTGACAACTTTACATTCTTACTAATACTCTCAGGGAAGGCAAGGCTATAAGCCTATGCCTTAAGGAAAACTCAAAATAATCAGTAAATGCAACAAAATCTATAGAGCAATATGAAAGGACGGCACCGAGAAAACATCTTTCCACATGATGATTCTAACAAAATTTTTCAACAATGAAAAAATCCAAATTGTTTCTTTCAAGCAGTTAGAAAGTTATCTACACCAAGTTCTGCAGAAATGACCTTCAAAAGGGGTATCTGTTGCATGGGAACAGAGTGTGCCCATGAGCACCGAGACCTTCAAAGTGTATCTGTCAAGCTCCAGTCTCTCACAGAGAGCACCCAGCTGGAGCCAAACCTTTCACTGCTGTTTATCCAGGCCAGTGCCACTGACTGTTGGAGCTTATGCTATTAGTTTTGAATGTTTAAGTGCACTTCTGTCGCTGCCCTGAGAGCTCATGTCAGTGCTGGTCCTACAGTGTAATCCCATCACTCCCAAAACAGCCTTTAAGAAACCCTCTGTGGCAAACAAAGTATTTCAGAGCACCCAGGCCACAACACAGAGCCTCAAAGGTCACCCCCACCACAGCTGTAGCTCTTCAGAGTGCCCTGGTCATAGGTGATGACAGAAGCACTTTGGAGGACTGAGGCTGAGGTTCTAGTAATACCTTAATCACATTCCTAGCATGCAGGTTTTCCTTCAGTAAGAATAAAAGTTATCTATCCTATGCCTCATTGCCTTTTAAATGCCTTTGAAGGTTTTTTTGAAGGGCACAAGCAGAAACAAAGTATGGAAAGAGCTGGATCCTTATTAGAGACCAGCTGCATAGTCCAATCACCTATTTCAATTTCAATTTCAAATTAAAAGTCACTTATACACTTTCTGAGATTTGCTTACTACCCTATTAACCAATCCGAGAAAATATAAGAAATTTAAAATAATTCCTAAATAAAGGCAGGTTTTTGACAGAAAGTACTGTTTGCATTCCACAAATCAGGTATTTAATTAGGTCCATAAATACACTTAAACCTAGCGAAAAAAAATTAGTCTAATGATATCACAAATCTCCTTGTTTATGTTGCTTTTTTATAAAATAAGGCCACTTATATAGGAATCACAATGTGTTTCTCTTTATATAAATGAATTAAAATTGTGCTAAGAAATCAGCTCTATTGCATTACCGATTTATAACGCTCTGAGGAGAATTTTAGGCATGTGTTTCAAGATAATTCAAAGGATAGGTGTACTAGTACACAGTCATAAAAAGAAAAATTAAAAGCCTCTGTATATGTAGGGAGCTGGGGGTGTTCAGCCTGGAAAAAAGGAGGCTCAGGGGAGACATCACTCGCTACAACTCCCTGAAAGGAGGTTGTAGCCAGGTGGGGGTGGGTCTCCTCTCTCAAGTTAACTAGTAACAGGACCAGAGGAAATGGCCTCCAGTTGTGCCAGGGGAGGTTTAGACTGGATATGAGGAAAATCTTCTTCAGTTAAAGGGTGGTCAAGCACTGGAACAGGCTGCGCAGGGATGTGGTTCAGTCACATTCCTGGAACTGTTCAAAAATCTTGTGGATGTGGCCCTCGGGGACATAGTTTAGTGGTGAACAGGGTGGTATTGGGTTAACAGTTGGACTCAATGATCTTAGAGGTTTTTACCAACATAAAGGACCCTTTGACAAAACCAACAGACCCCTATGAAATTTATTTAATTAATCGAATAGTACTAAATATGTCCTACACTGCAAAACACCAGAAAACACAGCAGTTTTTCTATTGCACTCATCAGTAGGGACATTCTGATGACACAAATATCTTCTCTTATGAACATATATAGAATAATATAATCATAAATTACATGATCTAAATGGCAATTCTGCCACTAATTTCAAAAGAGAGTGTGTGGAGTCCTGACTGTTTTGTTATCAATTTCATTAATACTGTAAAATTAAGATCGTGCCCCTAATTAGCAGCCCAAATTAGATAATTATGTTATAGAAATCAACAACCCATTTCCTTCCTTTCCAGCAGCAGCAGTGACATGATTTCATGAGCAGGAGATAATACAAAGCTTTACTAAATATTGGTACTCCCAAAGCATTTCCAGGAAAAGTTCCCACAACTCAATTAACACAACATTTGACTGTATAATTTGTAGAGGAATAGAGAGACAAAACCCGCACCCACATCTACTCAGATAAACAGAAATTTAATTTCTAACACCTGTGGGATCAGAATTAGGCCCCTGAGTATATCCAGAAATCTTCACCACAGCTGTCATGATGTTCAAATCAAAACCTTCACAAAAGATTCCTGAATTAAGCTGATGTCCTATTAAAATGCAACTTACCTAAAAGGATCTGATGTACCCAGGAGGTGGCTATGTACACATGTGAATGAAGATACAGAAAAATGTGCAAATGGTTACAGACTTTTATGAAGTCTAACAAGCAGCAAAAGTCACAGCTCACAAAATGACAAGCACCTGCATACAGTACTTGAGCATATTTTCATGAAATATCCACTATTAAAAACAAATGCCTCACTGACATTCAGTATGGAAGTGAGCACAAGGGCAAAAGCCATTTTCCAACTGAGAGCTGGGTCATTAGATCATACATGTCTTTGTTATTTCCTTGCCTTTCTTGACTACACAGTGGCACTGCTCCAGAGGCAAGGGTAACACAGCCAGACCAGTGACAGTCTGAAAATTAATGCTCCTCAGGAAGGGGAAATAAGCAATCAGAGCTTAAGTGTCTCACTTCCTACACACATGAAAGGTCAGCAGCATAATGGAATTTATAAGCATCCTTCCAAAGACAAGAGTCATTGGCATCCCGAAACGTGCACCAAAGGAAATGTAGGCACCAAAGAACAAGTGCTGGTTCTGGGTTTGAACTAGAGTTTTATAGAGGTGCTTATCTTGCAGTATCAATTACATATAGAGATTTAAAATATTTTCAGAGACAAATCTCTCTGATGTTTATCTGCTCAGCATAGTTAGTATTGTAAAACCCACTGGGGGTTGTAAACCAACTCTGGTACCTCCATCAGCATTGTTTAGTTCCATACCCAGCCCCTAATGGTCCCAACAAGCTCATCCATAACTGTAAATTATTCCAAGTAATTTTCAACTGCCCAGCCCTCTCCTAGGTGCCATGATATTGAAGTGATTGGCATATGTTACAGTTTGAACTTCTCAAGAACTCAATAAATGCCAATAAATATTAAAAACCACTACACAAGCCTCAGGGGTAAAAGGTGAGTATTGAAAATAAGGGAATATATGCAAAATTTTGGTTTTGAATCAAACCAATCCTCAATTCCCAGGCTTCAGAAGTAAAAATCTTCCCTGTAACAACAGTGTCTATCAAGTACAGAGGTAAGAGGCAGCACATACACACTCCTCATCATCGTCTGCCAGGGAATAAACAATCCCAAATTCAGTGCAAGACTTGGATGATGCACAGAGAGTAAGATAGGTGGCTATACAGTGAGTGACAAGGACGAAGGGATAGCTGCTTTTCCATACCCATCATTTATCCTCTTCACAAAATAATGCAGGGATTCAGCTAAAATGCAGCCAGCAACAAGGCAACGAAGGGTACACATCCATACAAGGAACTGAACTGAGATTTTGGTCCCTTCAGTCTCCAGGGAAGTTTTAACTTTAATATTTATTAAGAATTGATTTTGCAAACTAAAATTAAGATTAAAGTAGAGTTCCACATTTAACCTTGCACAGCTTGTTAATGTACTATAATTTGGAGTAAGTAGCTCTGTTCAGTGAGATATACATGAAGTAAATATACCAAGCATGGGCACAAAGGTCAATATTGAGAAGGGCCAAATTTAGTTATTAAGTTATAATATATGAATTTTTCAATCCATTCAAATAAATATATTTGACAGTAAGCATGCTTCTGAAAGATCTTGCTGCCACACTGGTTTTAATTATGAAATGCATTATCTCAGTTCTATTTAGTATCATGAAAATGATCCTCCTGGTGGGAGCTGTTAAGACATTCATCACACTTGAAAAACAGGAACTTACATAAGGAGAGCTAACCGTAGGCTCTTTTGTCTTAAGGAACCACTTACACAGATTTCTGCCATCAGATGGGCATCATAAACATAAGACAATCAAAAACAGCCAAAAAGAATGTGTATCACGTGAATTTTCTGCACCTTTCATAACAAATTCAGATTCTGTTTAAAATAGCTACAGAAACGGAGGACACAAGGGAAAAAACATGTTCCTTTTCGCGTCAACTGTTCTGTTTTCTTTTTTAAAGCTCTCCTGAAGTAACTGCTTAAGAAGAGCAGAAGACTAAGTGTTCTGTTCCAAATACCTTTAAAGTAACTTCAGTTGTTGAAAATATTGGCCAAGAGCCTACCTGTTGACTGTAGAGGAAGACCTGAAACCACTTAGCACAGTATGTAAACACCTTTTTTAAGTAGCTACTCACAAATTGTCCACATCTGGGGAAAAACTAGCATGAATCCTTAATTCAAGCATCACATTCTCGTAAAAAAGAAGTGTAAGAGTAATATTTATCTCACTGCTTAGAGTTGTGAGGCTGCTTTTTCACAGAATAATACCACACAATCACAGAATATTCTGAGTTGGAAGCCATCCATAAGGATCATCAAGTCCAGCTCTTAAGTGATCGGCCTGTAAGAACTTGTCATATGTGGTGCATTCTATCATGGATGCACAAGATTTATTTACAAGAAAATGCCAACAAAAACTGTAATGTTGTGTAAAGAATGAAGAAAGGCCCATCTGTGTGAATATTTCCTTGTCCTTAAAGGACAGAAGAGTGTGTGCTGCAGTTTAACAACTGCCATTTCCTCTTCTGCTGGAATAAGAAATAAATTCAAGAGAAGAGTAAATTGTCTTTTGGAAGTATTTTACTGCATCAATAATTCAAGCCTCAAATTGCAAGGATGCAGTTCATGACAACTTTCTGACATTATCAGTCAAGAAAATTTAATTACAAACAGTACCACTGTCAAACATTTTTTGAAATCCTAAACAGTGCTTTATTCAACAGCAGTACCTTCATATATAACCACATGAGGTAATATGGGCCATCTCTGCACTCCTGATGGCCTTCAGGAAAGACTCGAGTCAAAAGTGGACTAAATTCTTTATGCTGGGAGAGTAGGTACTTGCCAAAATACCCTTTTCTAGAGGCCAATTTGGAACAGGAAGGAATTTGCCAGTGTTCATACACTGTGTGAGTGTGTGCACTTTACAGCTTCTCTGGGTACTCACAAGCCTAGAATGGCCCAGATCAACTAGACCTTGCAAGCACATAGGATCCTGCCATGTGGTAGGAAAAGAAGTCTGTGGTGTGCAGACCTGTTCTGACAAAACTTAACCCATTTGGGACACTCATGCAAAACAATAAACCACAGCAAGAAGAAGCTTGGTAATATTGATGTAAGAAAATAATTGTTTTTTTTAATCTTCCAAGAAAAGCATGTATATAATTTCACTTCTAAAAAAGCATCTTAACTAATGGTGAAGAATAAAAATCTTATTCCTTAGTTTTAAAATATTTCTTATTCTGAATACCGTAATGTTTTTTAAAACATACTTTTGAAACCAAGGCAAGCAGGGTTCATGTAGAAAACAGTTTTCCTCAAAAGATCATTCATGTCATAACGTTGGATCAGAGCAAGATCACTAAGTAGTGTCTCACACAACGAGGGCTTGCAGTCAAGCATGCAGCCCCCTGGACAGTCTCAAAGAAAACACGTAACAGGGAATGTAGAGGAAGTAGACCAGACTCGTTTTTAGTACGTGGCATTCAGAGCTAGAAGGATTTCTAAACAAGACAGGAGCCTTTAAAATGTGATTTCTTTATCTTTGTAAATACAATAGAAAATGGTATATGTTCAACTGCAAATAGGTGTAGCTATTAGGGAAAAAAAAAATCTTTTCAACTTCTTCTGTCTATAGTAAGTAAGAGAGGAACATATTTTCATTGTGCCACAGTATTTATTTATGAAGGAAGGGAATTCAGCTCCACGGAAGAAAGTAACGTAAAAATAGTACCAGACCTTATTTTATTCTCTCAAAACCCAAAGAATCTGACAATACTGGGAAAAACAAAGGGAGAAAATGGATACAGACATACTCGACTGGAAATGACTATGAGAAGGACCACACATCTACTTACTGTAACTCCTGTATTCCCAGAAGTATGCAGAGAGCACGCAGATAAGAACCCTTAGCTATGTCTTCAAATATTACCACACAATTCCAAACACTATGATGATGACACCGAATTTGGACAAACAAACCATTTGGTTTGTTACTTACCAGATCTGTGTGAACTTTAAGGTGTGCCTGGAGCTTGTATTTATCTGGAGTAGAGTAGTCACAATGTTCTGTGGGACATTTCAGCAGAATATTACTGTGTTTCTGGATGACGTGACGCTTAAGGCAGTTTTTGGTGATGGAGGAGTAATTGCACTGGGAGCAGTAATATAAATGTTCTCGAGTATGTGTACGAACATGCATGTCATAATGCACTTGGTACCAAAACAATTTACCTGAAAATAAAATTAGACATGAATAAAGTAATTTCTACAAAACCGTTAGTGAAAATTACAATAAATACACAATTTTCTTTCAGGGCCAAACACACTGTTTGAATCCTGTCCCTTTTGTCTTTAACGAAAACTTGTCTAAAGACCCTTCGCTACTGAAAATATATTTACAAAACCCATTTTTGTCTAAAAAGATTGTGTTATATGTCCTGAAACAGCCTAGCAAGGGTAAATTTAACACATATCAATGATCTTTTCCCTAAAGAAAAAGTTCTTTATACCTGTTCTCCTATACAAAGAATCTGAATGCAACTGAACACTAAAAACGACTGTCAAAATATTTTTTGTTACTTCCTTTCATGTTACTCCTTCCTAAAAGCCTTTCTGACATAATGACACCAAAAAATGCAGAGCAATTCATCTGAGGTACAGTGTTATAGTGTTTCAAAAACTTGTTTTTTTCAGACTTTGATTGCTTTCCCTTGGCAAGAATGAAGACTACAACATAAATCCCAAATTGTTTCCTTTCCAGTTATGTAAACACAAACATTTTCAGTTAGAATAAATCTGAATGGTGTATTATTCTCACTTCCACAAATTAAAAAAAAACACAATTACAATCAGAATGGTCTTGATGTGATACCATAATTAAAAATTTTCATCTCACAGAACCTGGTTCAAAACAAGTCACAACAATATGCCAGTACATATGTGCCTATTCTACAGAACGTATATTACCATAGATCCTCCTATACTACATGAAAAAGACTCTGACCCTTACACTAAGCTGATAATGAAGCTTAAGCATTAAAACATGGACTGAGTAATGCTGATCCCATGCCTAAATCTGCTGTGCTTGGACCCAGTGAAAGTTATGACCTGGGGAGAGGCATTTGGACAGAAATAATTTAATTCTATCAAATTTGACATGAACAGAAAATTGAGCCTCACAAATCATTGCTTTGCTATATTCCACTAGTGGGTTTTTTGAGGAGATTTGACTCATTTCACACTATTTATACAGCAAAAAGTAAATCTCACTGGACCCCAGAACCATACTGAACTACAAAATTAATACTGCTGAAAAGATACACAAATATATCAAACACTGTAAACCAGAGGAGAAGGAAAAAGATGGCTCACTACATAACATTTAAAAAACCCCCAAACAAACATAATTCCACTGCTCCTTACCGCAGTATTCACATTCTAAGTCTCCATAAACCTTCCTTATCCTCTCACACAACTCTGTGTTCATTTGTCTCTTCTGCAAGCTATCCAAGATCTGCATGAAGGCAATGGATCCAGTCCCACCGTTGGATGTAGCCCTGTTGGAAGCGGCTGCCTGTGGGCTGGTGGCTGCTCCAGCTTCTGGTGCTGGTAAAGGGTCTGTGGATTCTGCTGAGTTCTGAACTGGAGGATTGCTTTTTTCTGATTCACTAGAAGGAACAGACCGGGTTCTCTCTTCAGAGACTGGAAGGTTCTCAGCCACTGCATTGTTCTGACTCGAATTTAAACTTTTGTCTTCAGACAGTAAAAGATGAATTTCTTCACCCTGCTCATTTACAGAACTGCAGTGATTAACTTCCTCTTCATTTGGAGGAGAAACCTTTAACTCCTCAGGACCAGCAGTACCATTTTTCAGCAGAAAGCAATCTGATGCTACACAGGGCTGAATGTTTGGGACTGCTATCTCTGTTGTCTGACACAGTGTCTCTGCTACATTCTTCATCAGAGGGTTTTCAAATTCCAAGGAAAGGATTGTATCAACTTTTACATCCCCATTATGTTGGCCATTATGGTTGACATCTGCAGTTGTTGATTCACCTTCACCAGCAGGTGGCTGTGGTGTGTTAACAGCATCAGTACCTGTGACAGTCGATTCACCTGCAGTTTGTGTTTGCTGTTCACCGAGGGCTTCTGGCTGGATGTCCCCTCCTGGCTCGAGCAGGCAGAAGCTTTGGTTAATAGAGCTGTTAAAAACAGAATCCTCCTGCAGATCCGCGTGAACGTCTTTGATGTGAGCACGGAGTCTCACAGAACTGACAAACTTCTTCAGGCATACAGAGCACACGTACACAAAGGGGTGCTTCCGAACGTGAAGCTCAAGAGCTTGGTATTTAGTGGCTCCGTGACCACAGAGCTCACAAGCAAAGGGCCTTTCATCCCCATGAACAAGCATGTGACGGTCTCGATCAAGCTCATTTTTGAATTTGCGCTCACAAATGTGGCAATCATACAGAAGTTGCCTTTTGCCCTCTCGTGTCATCAAGCGAAGCTCATCGAAAACATCTTTCACCTTTTTGTCTTGAAGGTCATGAGTTTCCTTGATGTGTTTGATCAAATTTTTGACATCCGAGTACTTCTTCTTGCAGAAGCGACAGTGCTGCTTAATTTTCTTATGAACCCTTTCGATGTGGACTTTGAGGTGGCCTTTGCTGAGGCAAGTGAACGTACAATAATCACAGCTGAACTTCTCTCCAGTGTGTTTCCGCATGTGAACATTCAGGTTGGCTTTGATTGCACTGGCATAACTGCAGGAAGGACACTTGTAAGGCTTCTCATTTGTATGAATCCTCAAATGTGCTTGGAGGGAGTGTTTAAATTTGAACACCTTGTTACAGTATTCACATGTAAAAATCTTCAGTTGAGTTGGGCCCAACCTAAAAAGAAAAAAATAAGCCAGTTATATTTACAACACTGAAACTTGATGACATAATGAGTCAAAATTCCATAAATATTCATAATGGACAGAAATGTTTAGGATTTTTTTAAATGTATTCTCCACAAGCATTTTAAATTATACAATTTACACACAGATTATTTTCAGCTGTTCCTTTATTTAAAGGGCTTAGAAAAATATTTCAGTTTCATGAAAATGGATGGGGAAGCATTTAATTCATATTCTGCATGAACACAAATAAAAGAACTTCAAAATCACCTGCTTGATTTCATTGCCTGTTCATATGGGGTTTGCTGAATGGAATATTCTTGATATCCTTTTCGTTGTGATGGCTCTTGAACTGTTGTCTCTGGAGTTGTGGGTTCACTTTCCTGGGGAGCAGCCTCGACAGGAACAATTTTTGTGGCTCCTATAAGGAAAACAAAGAAATGCTCATTAAAATTCATACTAAAATGTGCATTGTTTATAATACACAAGTGTAAACAAAACATTAAACTCTGTAATCATTAGTTCAACTATTTTAGTTTCTGTTAAGTTCCTGTGCATAAAATGATGGATACACTTTGAAAATATATCGGTACTTACATTACAGATCTGCTTAAATAATGTGCCCGGACTGATGGTTTTGAGGGTTACTCAAATGGTGCTTGATGCCTGTTATTATGAGATCCTACACTCAAATATTTCCATCTTTAAAAGACTGTAACTTTCCAAAATGAAATTTACATTCTTCTGTTTCTGCCTCATACCACAGCCTTTGAAAACTTCTGCCAAATTGCTTAATCAGTTCCACAAATAAAGCCGGGTAAAACACAGTTTAGTCTATACTTAAAAGTCTTCATATCCTTTCCTTAAACTCCTTGTATTTGGGGCATATTGCCATCCCCTCAGAATAAAAGAGTATTTTGGGAACAGGCTCCCTGGGGAAGTGGTCATGGTCCCAAGCCTGCCAGAGTTCAAGGAGCATTTGGGCAATGCTCCCAGGCACATGGTGGGATTCTTGAGGCTGTCCCATGCAGTGCCAGGAGTTGTACTCGATGATTCTTGTGGTTTCCAACTCAGGATATTCTATGATTCTGTGTTCCATGTGCACTTCTCTATCTCCACTAGGAGCAGGAGTAAAGGGGCTCTACTGAATGCATTACGATCAGATTCCTGAAGATATTATTTATACAACATATAGGTAATATTAACATAAAGTCTCTGAAACAACAGTGGGAGTTACCCAACAAAAGGTGTGAAAGACTGAGGGACATTAAGTGGAGGAAAGTGGTGCTACAGACTAAAAAAGGGAGAAAGATGGAGATTCCATGGGTTCTTCACAGTGATTTAAAGTGGGAAATGGAGATATTTTGAGAAGAGGCCATTTGGGAGTGTGTAAGGCTATTGAAGCTTTTCTTATCAGACATCAATCAGCCAACTCTGGAACTAAACAGATTGTAGTAGCTCTGTTGCTCACTGAACTGGCTGCATCCAAAAATGGTTTTTTTAACTACCGTTTTTTAATAATGCTTTCAGTTCTGTACTAAAAATTCTGCAGGTTCATCAGAACTGATCTTCCAAGTTTTCAATCTAAATGTTACCAGAACATTATATGTATTATACATAATATGTTATATATATTATAATTATGTACTATATATATTATATATATTCTTCTTGTTCCTCCCTCTCCCACAAATGTTAGGTTGTCCAGTAGAATTGCATCTCCCAGATTGCACTGTGGTAGCCCAGTGAGATGGGAGTTTGTCATCATAGCACAGGAGACATGGTTCAATCAGTGGGTTCAGTGTAAAGGTGATACAACAGACATTAGATACCAGACTGGTGTTCCCATACTTCAATACTTAAAATAGAAGCAAAGTCTTCTATATTTAGAACGACTTAGTTAAGAGAAAATAGATCTTGAACTGCTTTATATGCATGGTTACCTCTTCTAGGCCTCCCATTTCCTGAATGTGAGACAAAGACTCTCATTAAATGCTCCACACTAACTCTCCTCTGTGCCCTTCTGCCTTTCAGGATGTTTGAGCATTTCCTGAAAGGACTGCTGAACTGTTTAATAGACTTTTGTACTCCCACTATAAAAATTTAATCACCTAAATTGGGTGAACTAAACATATACTAACTCACTAGATAAATACTAACTCATCAGTATTTTGCATACTTTAAGTGGGCAGAATGCTCCAAGGTTATCCTATTATTACTGCCTCTAAATTCCCTATGCAGTTCATTGAGAGACCATTGCCTTTAAAAACCTAAAGAGGGAGATCCAGCTCTTGGAACATATGGATGAAGCACTTGCTCACAGGAGGCAATCCTGTCCCCCTTCCTACCCTTAGAAGATAGGGAAGCATTAAGAAACATTACATATCTGTCTTCATCCACTTGGGATGCTGCCTGTGGGCTGCTAATGGACCAGCAGCCACTGCAGTCACTGCTAGATCACAAACTAATGACTACAGCATGTGCCTAGAAAGTGTGGAAATTGGTTTCTAGGCTCTACCCAACCTAGTCCCCACATGTCCCAAATCACAAAAGAACTGCCCTCAATATTCAAGCCAGGGAAAAGTATAGGAACAAGGCAAACAGATACAAGGTCTTATTTTTCAGTAAGAACATCATATGCCAGTAAGGAAGATAAAAGTTTTTCCTAACTGTTTTCCTAGATGATCATTTCAAAAAGTCAGAGCATATACATATCAGGGGGAAAAAAGAGGTTAACTGTATTGATAATTTCTTTTAAAATATCCTTCCTCCAACACTATTAGATCTCTATTTTAAATGCAGAATGGTCTTTTAATTTACTAGACTTTATTTGTTTTTTGCTTTCCTCTTTTCGGTCAATATCATCTAAGTAAATCTGTTTTCAAAGTAGTAAGATTTGAGTTCCTCATAACATTCTGACAGGAATTTCTACAGATAAGCATCACCCAACAAGCCTCATCTCTACCTCAAACTCAGAGATGGTCTCTGATCTCTCATAGTCTGTCTCTCAGAAAAGCAGCTTGTCCTTCATTATAGAGCTCTCCAATACTTATCAGTCTAAAAGATAATAGAATTATTAGAAATGGACAGAAATAAAACAGGAGACATCATCAAACAAATTCCTACCAAATCAACTAAATTCCATGAACCTCCTAACATTTCAAGTACAGACCACAAAAAAAAGGATAAACCAGCAAACAGTAACAAAGACAAAATCCCTTTGTTTAGAAAAGGAATACATAACTTTGAGACCTTCAGCTTGGAAGAGAGATAAAGATCTCTAAAATTAGCAACACTGTGAAAAAAAGTGTGGAAAATCGTTATCTCATAAACCACAAAGAACAGATCTATAGGCAGTCAGCAGGTTTAAAACAAAACAAAAGAATGTGCACTTTCACTCTGTATGTAATTAAATTATGGGATAATTACTCCACAATGTCACAGAGACTGAAACTATAAATATATTCAAGACGGGATTTAGAGACAAATTAATAGATATGTATTAAATATGATCATCCAGATTCAAACACCAGTTCAACCAATGTTAGAATCTAGGAGAGCTTATACAATAAGTTTCTTATTTCTTTCCTACAGAGATTCTGTGAACTGCTGTGATCTGACTAGATGAACTTTTTTTTTTAAAAAGAAGGACCTCAACTGAAGTTTAAGTTTAAAAAAAAATCTTCATAATGTAAGTACCCTGGTCTGTACTAGTAAAATAATGTTTTATGGATATGGAGTGAATATTTGTTTCTTACAATCTCTTTTTGAAGAAATGTATTTTTTCAGCTTCCACAGTATCCTGTGGAATGTGCTCCAAATGTGTATGATCTCTGGTAAGACAGTTCTGAAAGCCAAACCAACAGAAATCAATCCTCCCCATAATCCCCAATGGTCCCCATGCAAACCTACTCCTATCCCTCAAAATAAAGCTCAAAACAAGCAAAAGAACCTTTTAATATTTGTATAGGTAAGCTGACCATGAGGTTAAACACATTTTAACTCACACAAAGCAACAGAAACACACACCTGTGAATGGGGGGATGAAGATTCCTACCTCTTTCAACAGCGCTGGACATCAGATTGGCTGAGCTAAATCAATCCGTAACCCCATGATAACACAAACATCTGCTCACATTCAGAGGTTTAATTTTCCAACCCTTGTGTAATTCAACATTTGCTTTAAATCAGCACAAGGTTCATGTCTGTTCTCCAGTCCTCCACTCAACTACATGCTACATGGCCTTAAAAGAGCCAGCACAGGAATTCTTGAAGATGAAGAGGGGGGATCTGGTTAAACTCTACACTATTTCTCTCTTTCTGTAAATCCAGTATCAGTTTTCTGGTGTGTTTTACCACAAACTGCAGCAACAGGTACAATGATCCAAAGGACGGGAAGCTGGGGTCAGAGGAAAGCACTTGCCTGTGACAGCAGTCTGTACTTACTGACCCAGATACTTTAAAGAGGGGTAGTCCCAATCCTCCTCCTTTGCCCCAAGAGGATCATTTTGTCTGATACTAAATCCATTCAGATGTGCCATAAAACCACAACCATCATTTCATGAGCTACAGAAAAGAAATTGTCTTAAACAGAAAATACTGTTATCAGTTAAAGAGAAAGACTGTCATCAATTAAACTAAGCCACTCCCAAATTGGTAAGAAAAATTACATTCTTCCACTTCTTCCCCACTGCCCAAAAATCTCAATAGGAGAAGAAGCCAAGCATTCATAAATTACAGCAAAGGGTATAGCAGAAGGAGAACTCAGCTGGATTTTTATGGACAGTAGTTCCTCATTGGAAATCAGGGACAGAAAAACCTGAGAAGTGTTGTATTAAGAATTTGCAGAGAAAAAAATCCAAAACAAAAAAATAATTGTCATCAAGAAATTGAATACTTCATGCTATTTTTGTGTTTCTTGAAAAAAAAACCAAAACATTCTACCACTGACCATCTTCACAGGAACTGAAAACAACTCTACTAATAACAAGCCGAGTCTTTATTAGAGGATTTACATAAAACAACAATTTAGATGTTCAAATCTCTCCTGAATCAAACTAATTAAGCATGAATAATAAATTGGTTTTAGAAGCCTTGATAATTTACAGAATTTAAACGTGGGAAATACAATACATAAAACCACTAAAAGATAGAATGTTTGGCTGAATTTACTCACTTGTTCTTAAAAATAGACTACAAAAAAAAAAGTATATGCCACTCAAAACAAACTATTTTCAGAGGTGCATAGAACTGTATTTATTTACTCTTCTTCTTAATTGTGATGCTTATGAAAAACTGTACTATGTTTGATCCAGTATCAGATGCGTGTGTCCATGACCACAGCACTCCTTCTCTTCAAGGTCCCCAGATCCCTCCAGCTATAGAACCATAGAATGGTTTGGGTTGGAAAGGACCATAAAGATCACCTAATTCCAACCCCCCTTCCATGGGCAGAGACACGTTCCACTAGACCAGGTTGTTCAAAGCCCCATCCAAACTGGCCTTGAACACTTCCAGGGATGGGGCAGCCACAACTTCGCTGGGCAACCTGTGCCAGGGCCTCACCACCTTCAGTGAAGAACTTCTTCCTACTACCTAATCTAAACCTACCCTCTTTCACTTTGAAGCCATTTCCCCCAGTCCTACCACTACCTGCCCTTGTAAAAAGACCCTCTCCAGCTATATAGTAGGTCCCCTTTAGGCCCTAGAAAGCTGTTTGAAGATCTCTCTGGATCTCTCTGTAGCCAGCCTGACCAACCACAGCTCACTCTGTCTCCACAGCAGAAGTACTCCAGTCCTCTGATCATCTTTGTGGCCTCCTCTGGACTTGCTCCAACAGTCCATGTCCTTCCTGTGCTGGGGACTCCTGAGCTGGATGCAGCCCTGCAGGTGAGGTCTCACAAGAGCAGAACAGAGGAGCTGCTGCCCCAACTGCTTTGGTTGCAGTCCAGGACATGTTTGGCTTTCTGGGCTGCAAGCAAACACTTCCAGCTCATGTCCAGCCTCTGATCCACCAGCACTCCCAAGTTCTTCTTGGATGGACTGCTCTCAATCCACACATTGCAGGCTCCACACTTGGGATTGCCTCAGCCCAGGGGCAGGACCTTGCACTTGGCCTTGCACTGCATGAGGCTTGCACAGACCCTCCTGTCAAATTACTTCAATGCCTACACAGAAAAAAAATCTACAACTCTTACTCAGGCTGTATTTAGTTCATAGGTTTATGCAAGTTTTCAGACTTCTAAAGCTCATATGCCTCCCAAGAAAAAATTACAGAAGAGGAACATTGGGGAAAATCAATATTGTCCAACTGTCCTTTCTGGGAAGTTAAAAACCAACTCATCTGTTTGTTCAAAGGGATTTTGAGGAGATCAATTTAGTCGTAATCTACTAAACATATGATTTTAAGCAGTGTCCCAAACCTAAATAGTGCATAGCAAAACTATGGCAAAACGTTAATGCAATACTTCCAAAAGAATCTTTCATTTAAGAAGGGAGAACTAATTCTCAAAGCCTTCTCTATTTTTCTAATTGTCATATGAAATCTTCACCAATATTCTACTGCAGTGGACATAGAAAGGGATATTTCCATTCATCTTTAAAGCTAGGTAACAGGTGGCTACAGATGGATAAGTTTAAATCATGCTTAAGCACCTTTAAACCTTATTTTGAGTTTAACTTTACAGATGGTCTAGTACACAGAAAGCATGGGAGAAGGGAGAACTGTTTTATCCATTTATATTCTTCAACAGCAGTCTAAAGCAGTAACTCACCTCTTCAGCACATGATATATCTCCAGAAAAATGGAATAACAGACTATGAAAGATCTTTATTAAAAACTCCAGTCATTAAAATATTACTGAGAAAGGAGAACAGCCTAAGAATTACTAGTGACACTAAGATATAGTTAGAAAATTGAAATTAATTGAAAAAAAGAAGGAAAATCAATGAAATATAAATTAAAATGTAATTGCACTAAATGAATTATTTTTCCTTTTAATCTTCAAAGAGTTAACCACTTGTATCTACTAGAATTTCTAAACGCTGAAAAGTCAGGTGACAATTCATATCTGTCTTAACAGCAATGACTTTTTTATTACACATATTTTAGCTGGGAACTTGAATGTAATAAGATTAGTAACTGTCAATCAAATAAATGAGAGGACCTTCAGAAACAGCTGCAGGTTCACACTTGATCATAAATCCTTTTGGTTCATTAAAGCCTTCTGAATGTACCATGTGCTATGCATAAGGAACTCCAAAGTTGAAGTTGTTTTAACATTTTGAGTCCCTCAAAAAGCACATGTGCAAAGGAAACCCTAATTTTTGTTATCCAATGAAAAAATTGTACGCAGTAGCAATTAGGGCACCAATGGCCTCTAGATTTTCATTTCCTCTCCTGCATCACATGCTTCCTACATTTGCTTCACTATTTGTATTTACTATTATTTCATTCACCTTTTTAGGCTAGTTTGGTATGAAAATGGATCTTTGACTGCACTGTCTACCACGTCTTTTTCTAGTCCTTGCCAGAAATTTAAAGGTCTAAAAGAAAAATCCTGACAGCGTTCCTAATATTTAGCACCACAAGAGGGGAGCTCCAGTTACAGCTCTTTCCAAAATGCCTGAGGAAGGGAAGAGGTTTGTTTATATCCATAAATTAACACCTTTAGGAACCCATTTATTAACACCTACATGAGCCCCTTAACCAGCCATTGCATGTTCCCCTTTTCCCAGCTGAAGGAGCAGAGGATGCAAGGGGAGTCTCATGTGTGACAGGGAGCTGAATAAGCACCAGGATGGGGGAAAAGCCACATGCAGTGGGAAAATGAGTGTTTCACAACAGTTAGGAAAGAGCTCAGGGTTACATCACCCAGGAGAAAGGGAGCTGTGGTCAGTGAAATGAAGCAGTGCAGACCTCAAACCACCCCAAAACCAGGCTTCCACACTTCCAGTGCTGACCAGTCCTCTCCCACCTTCCTCTGTATTTACAGTATAGCAAGGCCAAATTTTTAACAGCTCAGTGTAAATCCAAAACTCTGAAACTGTAAATCCCAGACATTGAACGTGAAGGTGTTTTTTTTTACTTTCCTTCTAAGCACACAGGATATTTGTAGGCAAGTTCATCCAGCTTCCTCTACCACTGCAACTAGAAACACAATTTAGCAAACAAAATCCAAGCGTATCACAGATCTCAACATCAAAAGGCATTAAACTACAACACAGAAAATCCAGCCAGCTTCCAAACCACAACAAGAAAATAAATAAAGACATTCAAGTTGTTCTGACAGTTATAAGCAAAACAATTACTCAGAAACATCAGCAATAACAAAAAGGAGAACAACAAAGCTACAAAGTTGAAAATAATGCACAAAACTATTAAAAAGGGATTCTGACGGTCAGGTGTGTTAATGGTTTATATAAACAGGCAAATGCAAACTTAGTTGTAAAATAAATAGTTTGAAACCTTTAGTCATTATGTAGAACTTGATTTTCAAATATATTTACACATTTTCTGTTAAATTATTTGTATGTATATTATACATATATTTATGTTTTCATAAACAATTTTACATTTATCATAAATATATGCAAAAATCAAAAGCCATAAAAGAGGTTCTACAGGTAAAAAATCCTTTTCTGTTCTTTGGTCAATGTTTTAACATTTTCTTCTTTAAAACAATTCACAGGCTAAACACGACAAATCTTAATGCAGATAACTACAATCAAGTCACACTGAAGAAGAAATGTGACTTAAGTTCTAAAATTATGTAAATGTCCGAGGTAGAGACTCTGTATCATGATAATCAAATAACAGTACCTATTTTTCATATCATAAATATCCCAAACAGCCTGGTCTCAGACCAGTGACTGTTTTATACAGTGTCAGCATGGTTTAAAAAAAATTATTATATAATTGGTGATTTTGCTTACCTGGAATAGCTTCATGGGCTGTCAAAACCACACTTATAATAGGATTTTTAGCTCCTGGAACCTGTTCGGTCTCCTTAGTTGATGGGGTTTTCTCTGTTTTCTGAACTCTGGGCCTCTTTGGAGTTTTTTCTCGCTCATCTTCCTTCCTGTCAAGGTCAACGTCAGAATCATTACCTAAAGAGCAAACATCAAAAAGAAGGTAACTATGTACAAAAGCAATGCAGGTGATACAGTCACTGACACTACAAGAACAAACGGGAAGGAAACTAATGCTACCACAGGAAGACAGACATCATCAAAACAAGATGCGCTGTATGATCCCTAAAGAGGAAGGTTTAATAAAACTCTATTTAATAAAACTAGTGTGATACTTACACAAATTAAAAAAAAGAGAAAAAAATCAAAATTTTAAAAATGGATTCTCAGAAATATTTGTGTTTCCAAATTATTTCACAGCCCCTCAGTTCAGAAAGGATATGGAGGTGCTGGAGCAGGTCCAGAGAAGAGCAACAAGGCTGGTGAAGGGACTGGAGCACAAGTCCTATGAGGAGACGCTGAGGGAGCTGGGGCTGTTCAGCCTGGAAAAGGGGAGGCTCAGGAGAGACCTCATCACTCTCTACAACTCTCTGACAGGAGGTTGTAGCCAGGTGGGGGTTGGTCTCTTCTCCCAGGTAATCAGCAGTAGGACAAGAGGGCATAGTCTTAAGCTCTGCCAGGGGAGGTTTAGGTTGGATATTAGGAAGAAATTCTTTACAGAGAGGGTAATCAGACATTGGAATGGGCTGCCCAGGGAGGTGGTGGATTCACCATCCCTAGAGGTTTTTAAGATGAGACTGGATGTGGCATCAGTGTCATGGTCTGGTAACCACAGCAGTGTTGGATCAAGGGCTGGACCTGATGATCTCGGAGGTCTTTTCCAACCTGGTTGATTCTGTGATTCTATGAGTCTACAACTCTATACAAAACACTCATCTGAAATAAGAATGAATAATCAGTAATCAGCTGAATTATTCCTTGAAGCTATTTCTTCCTTAAAGCAAATGAGCAATTTGAATTCTGAAAATCTTAAAAAAAACCCCAACAAACAACAAACAACCAAACAACAAAAACCAAACCTGCACAAAGATAAAAAGTCTAAGTTTATGCCAATAAAATTTCTTATATTAGATGAAATGGTAGCAAATGCATGCTAGAGAAAACAAAGTTGGCAAATTAAGGCACTATGCAAATGTGCCAGAATAAAGAATGTAATGAATATGGAAAGCAGAAACTGATGGAAGAAAATGAAAAATAAACCCAGTGAATTTTTCAGGGTTTTTTCCCCCTGAATCTAAATCAGTTGACTCAATCTCCAGAGTAAGTTATTCCATCTATATCCATAATGTGCTGTTGGTTTTCTACTGTGATAGGGACACAAAGCCAGAAGGAAACAAGGTGTGTAAGAACAAGTTTAGCTTTCTCAGGCATCCTTAGGCAGAAATGTCAACACTGACAACTGGTAATGACATGATGCTAATCAGTAAATCCGAAATTCATATTTACAACCCCCAGAATGAGGAACAACCACAAAGCAAGCTGAATTCTAACACAGTTAGCCAGTCACATTTCTATGGAGCCATGTTAGCAATGCTTCTGTCCCAGCTTCCAGCTTCTCTGCCTGGAGAGCACCCAGCTTTTCAGTGCCTGCTCTAATGATTTCTTCAATTTCATTACATAAATTCCTTGATCTAAGCCTCTTCTCAACTACCTTTTTCTCTGTAGACTTTTATGATTTTGGAAAATATTGCTGCTTTATATATAAAGAGTCTTGTAATGTCCCCATTTAACTCCCTAATGTAGGTGTAAATTATTCATTGCTACTGAAACCATGTAATTCTAACACTGACGTTTCTCTGCAATACCTGCAAGGGATATTTGAATATTAAGAAAAATTCCAGAAAATTCCAGCTGTTTGAACCAGAAACTGCTTGAGCAGTGGTTTCTTTTGGTGTGATGAGCAGGGGTGAAAGTTGGACTCCATCTTAGAGGTCTTTTCCAACCTTAATGATTCTATGAAACAAATACATTTTTCCACATTTTCTTCATGAAACAGCCTATGTTAGATTATTATCAACAAGAAAATGAATCATCACAAATTCCTCTGCAGGATCAGACTACCAACAGAACAAAGTTTTCTCATAAAGTATCAGAAGACACAAAGAATGTAAGCTGCTTATTGAATTATGTTTCCCTGAGGCTACTTCACCTACTGTAAAACAACATATACAAAAAGTAATTGGGTTAATTAATCTGCTTTTGTTCAGTGGGCAGTAAGAGTTAGTGCTAGCATTAGGAAAAAAAAAAAAGAAAAAAAGAAGATTTAATATACCTGTGGACAAAACATGTTTTAGCCAAAAGAAATTCAGAACTGTAGATTGGAATAAAAGCTATGATGAGGACTACAGAATTTTCTCCACTTTGCTTGGGATCATGTAATTCCTAGTAGTCATATGAATAGAATCCAAGCACCCTGCTCCTAAATCCTCCTTTCTAACCATTAAAAAGTAAGACTTAATCAGTTTAATGAGGAAATAAAGTGCCTGAAACCAAACAATAAAACTTTGCCATTTCATGCTTTTCATGCCAAATTGTAACTGTTAATTTTGAATATTGGAATTTTACTAAAAAAAAGGATGAATCACAGACTTGAATTTGTGATCCATACTTGTGAATAACTAGGACCAAGTTAAGAAATGTTTCATGCTGCTTTTCTCTCCTTATGTGCCTCTTTCAGGCAGATCAAGTTTGTTACTTCCTTCAGTCGGACTAAGGGTAAAGGCTGTGGAAGAGACGTGTTACAATAAATACAGCTGATTATATCTCCCTGTTTTCAAAACAGAACTCCAAAAATGCTATTTAAAAAGACTTAAAAATAACATTCAGAATTGCAATATAAAAACATTTCTCTGCCAAAGGGTTGCTGTGTCATATGCATAGAAACCCCTTGTACATGTATGATAAGCACTAATAATTAAGATTATGGCCATGGGAAAATATTTTCCTAAGAAACCCAAATCTGGTAAGTAATTCACAAAGGACTGAATCTCAACTTCCATCTCAGTATGAGCTGAGAACATCCAGCCCCTAACAGAAGGACTACATTCACTATGAGTATAGGTGTGAGGAAGGTACTGAGTGCCATGCAAACTCAGTTAACACCAAAAAAGGCCACATATATATTGGGGAAAAACAGGCAAATGAGAAAATTGAACTGATTTGCTGAACGCCTTCAATTAGTGCTGAATATCTGTAAGAACATTCTCACCCTCACAAAAAAAAAAAAAAACAGCCTCCTCTCTACAGAGTGTTTGAATTCTGATAGTTAACTATTAAAATTTATTCACTAATCTGATGATGATGGCAGTAGCCCCATTCTTCCCCTTTCTGAGAGGAACAAACATCTTTCAGAAACAATCTGTTGAAAAAGAGCTGGGATGCACCTTGCCAATACTTTTTGCTACAAACAGAACTATTTCATAGTCTGTGTGTAACCTGAAAGAAACTTAAAAATCCCCCGAACCAACACTTCCCATCAAATCAAGAAATCAATAAAAATCTTAACACTCAATGACAATTGCTTTGTTCTTGAACTCTTCCTACACCAAAAAATTGTGAACTGGATGGTGTGCTTTAGGAAGGAATTGAGAGGTAAACAAAAATATGTCTTAATGGAAAATAAGAGCTTCAACTTTGACCACAGGACTCAAATGGCCTTTCTAGAGTATGAGGCCATCTCAACAGCATTTAGTTCCTGAAATTTAGCATTTAGTCTTCCTGGAAAAAATTCCTTCAGTGTTAGTATTGTGGATTAGAGTGTCAAAAGTAAGTGTTTTGTCCCTCACAACTAGGACAATTCAGCTGTATAAAAAAGAAACACCCATAAGTGATTTTAAGATAATTTAGGAGAAAACAGAGTATATGCCACCTGAATAGCTAAGCCTGGTTTCTCTGGGCTGTTAGGGCCTTCACTTGCTCCTGAACAGGTTTGTTTAAACGAACTGTCTCACTCTGCATCTCCCTTGCTAAGCAGTCAGCTTAGCACTTTGTCAGCTGGCACCTGGATGCAACAGATGGATGAAGTGACCTCCCCTCCCCAGCGACAGCAGCTTCAAACGCCTGCTTGTGTTTGTGTAAGAAATACAGCACTGTGCCTGCGCCTTCCAACACATTTAAGAAACGGTCATGTTTCTGTTGATTGGTAAAGCCACTGTCAACTCTGAATTAATCAGTGCATTCAGAGTCCCTTCCAATCTGTCCCAGGATTCTACTGGAGTTGTTAACTGAAGGGACTGATCTGGGCATTAGTAATTGGATGTATGACACTTCAGGAGCACAGCTACACATCCTTAACTGGCATGTTTTTAAACTACTCTTCACTCAAATTACTATTTCTTATCCTCTAAAAAGCGCTGATATTTCATAGCAGCAAGAGAGCAGCTTGGAAAAAAGATGGACTGGCTATTTAAAATTAACACAGACAATTGTTTCTCCTGTAGAGAAAGATATACTACTTGCAGGAAGAATTAATTTAAATCAGAACCCAGCTGCTGGCAAAAACATTTTAAACCAAGGCCAAAAGAGACATCTTTAAGAATTACTTAGGTTCCTAATTCAGCATGAATGAATGGTTTACTCCACAGAAGGGACTCTGTCCAGTGCTGTAATGTGTCTTCTACCCAAATCCCTCAATGTCCTTACATCTTGACAGAGATTCAGGTATGCTACAGTGTGGGAGAGGGATGGTGGTTAAAATAATTACCTGTTGTCTATCTCTCAAAACCAGTGAGCTTAGAGGAAGTTGCTGGGAAACTGACCCAATCAAACAACAGTCAAAATCCCCAAACTCCCCCCAGCGCAGCGCTGGAAAGCTGAAGCAGGTCTGTTTTCTGGCTGGAAGCCACAGTGAAAACCTGTGGCTGTTCAGGAACAATGTCAACTCTTCTAGTTTTGTCTTAGGACAAAACACTGGATGGCAGTACCACCAGCCAGCCAGATCCAAATCATTAGCCAGAACTGTTAGTTTGGTTTAACCAAAAAGAAACAAACAGGTGTATAAAAAGCTCAGCTTACATCAGAGCAACTTGCTTAGGGAAACAACCCCTCTTTAAAAAAAATACATTTACTAAGCCTATACA